GTTCAGTGCTTGCTCGCAACGTCTGCCATATATGTGTTGGAGGGCTAACAGCTAATAACAAAACAAAAAAAGGCAACTATCAATAATTAATTAATACGGGTTAATTGGTTAACAAACTTACAGTCTTTGATAATTAGATGAGCCACACTGTCTGATTCAGACTTAATTACTAATCCACTGTCTGTTCTCTGGGGCTTCAAGGAATAATGAATTACAATAAGTATGAATTATTGCGGCTTACCAAAGACCCAGCGCAAATACACACCCGTCCCTGGTTATGGTGCTATTTTGTATTGATCGATGATTGTTTGGTTCGGGGAAAGGAGGCGCTGTTGGAAGCAGCACAGTGCAGGACGGAGATGTCACCGTTCACAGAGTAGAGTAGTGTGTGCATGTGCTGTGTAAACAATGTGCGAATGACGGCGGCATAATAAATATGTATTTATATACAGGTATATATATATATATATATATATATTATATTTATATATGATATATAAATATAATATAATATAAAAAAATAGATATATATATATATATTTATTTAGTATATATAATAAATATAATATAATATAAAATATATATATAATATAGAAATACAAACACATTTTTTGTATGCATGTGCAAAATCAAGCTAGTCGAGCATGTGCAGACCCCCCGCCCCACTTCCCCTTTCCCTCTTTGGCAACCTCATAGTCTTCGAGAAAAGTTGTGCGTGTGGGAGTGTGAATTTCTCATCTGCAGACGCTCTGATTTATCCACTCTATATTTGCATATGCACACAATGTGATTAACTGCCATGCCTTATCTTCTTCGCCTAGCGACTTCATGCCACGCATGAATGCATACACACACACACACACACACACACACACACACACACACACACACATACACACACATATACCTACCTACACACACACACACACGAAACTAGAGCTTGCAAGCTCGCCGCACGTTCACACGCTAGCATTGAAAAAGCGTGGTGCGCTCTCAGGGAGCAGTGATCAAAGGGAACAGTAAGCCACACAGCCAGCTCCAGAGCCTTTGGAACAATGTGTTCTTCAGCCTCACTTACAGTTGGACCGCAGCAGGTAGCGAACCCTCTGCCCCCCCCCCCAGCTAATTTCAGTTTTCTTTATTTATAGTCGGCGTGTGAACGCGGGTGGCCGGCTGTGCGGGTGAAGCTGTCCTGTCCGCCTTCAGTTGTCAGTCACGCACACTTACTGTGTATAGCTGCACCATGGGATATAATCAGCTACAGCTAGCGTCTTTTAGATGCTGTAATAATATGTCAGTCCATATCATTAACACCCACTGAGCCTGGGGATATGTGAGGGCGCATTGAAGGACTTTCTCCTCAGGCCTCTAGCAAAGTGTGTGTGTGTGTGTGTGTGTGTGTGTGTGTGTGTGCGTGTGTGTGGGGGGGGGGGGAGGCTCACCCCGTCATGCACGCTTAGCTGTCAGATATGAATGCACCTATACATGCGCACATTACGCTCCCTTCTCGGTAACTACATCACATAGGTTGGTTCCCCTGAATTTGTGCTTATTTAGCACTTTGTTGGTTGTTTCCAAGGCTGACAGACTCCGGTTTGTTTTTTCTGTACAGTTTCACAATTCCTCTCGCTTTGATCCATAGAGGCAGCTTTGCTGTCAACATTTGAAGGTGGAAAGTACTGTAGAAGGGAAATTTGAACAACACCAGAAGGCTGACTTCCTGCACTCTAGTGAGCTCTGTGTTGGTGTTAGTATGCAGCGCAAAAAGACACACACACACACACACACCACATCCTTATGTTACTGTGTGTAACATGGACAGTCTATTATCGTTGCTAATTAAGGTGCATTATCTACAACTTTTGTCGTAATGACTCGTTTCCACCTCATCTCATTTCCCACCTTACAGATGTCCTCACCTCTTCTCTGCTCCCACGGGGGGCTCCCTCTTGTCACATAGCGGTAATCAACAACGCTCTCTGAGACCCGTTGTGGGGCCTTTAATCAAATTGGATTGGATTGCATCCGCAGAGTAAGGCTGTTATAACTGACGTTCTTTTGATGGGGACAAAGAACAAAGGGAGTCTCATCATTTGAGAGTCATTGGCCTGTAATTGTCAACTGTAGCGATTGCCTTGGTGTCATCGCCACCTCTCGCCTCTTTCACACCTCTCGTTCTGCTGTCTGTCTCTTCCTCTCCTGCTGCGGTTTTTTGACCTAAATCTGAGAAGAAGAATGCGAATAGCGTCACTTCTTCATCCTCTCCTCCACCCGCTCTTCTCTCCCTCTGTTTTCACCAAGGTCGATCCGACTGCATCTAATTCGCTCCTCTTTGATGCTAAAATCCATTCACAAGTCGAGTTGAGATTTATCTCAATTATTTCTCCGCTGGTGCGTCTGCCAGCTTCTGAACACGAGTATCAGACTGCCAGATCCACCTGGGGAGACAGGGTAAATCTTTTGATGTCTTGTGAGTATCCATCGGCTATACAGAGGGACCCTAAATTCTCTGAACGCAGCGTGCAGCTTTACCCGCATGCAGCAGCTGGAAATCCAGGCGCTGACAAGGAGAACGCGGACTAATCTGCAGCCTTCTCAATAAGCATGCGGAATGCTTTTAAACAACACGTCAACTGGCGTAAATCCTTTGCCGCCAGTGCCGAGGAATAACAACTATTGTTCTTCATTGTGGGGCTTGTGTGAGGATGAATAAGTCAGTCATTGTTGTTGTTGATGGATCCGCAGCTATTTACACGCCGCGTAAGACCCAGGATCCTGAGCACGAACACAGAGGATGGCGGCAAAGCAAAAAAACAAAAAAGACTGGAGGGGAATTTAGAATGGAAGTCAATAAAAGTAAAGTAATATCCAGAGAGGGACAGAAGAGCAATCCGTATCTAGAGAGAGTCCCGGCTGCCCCGGCATGTCCTTGTGCAGGATTTATGAGCTCTAAGATCAGGGAGCGGCTCAGGGTGGAACGGATGGAAAAGTGAAAGGAGAGTTGTAAGGATCCGAGGCCGACGTTGGAGCCGGTAGAATGTGCCAACTTTCAGATCTAAGTGGGCTGAGACTGCGCTGTGGGTGGAGATGTCACTCCCGCGTAATGCCAGGCGACAGGGGGAGAAATGGGAAGGCAGAGAGGAACCAATGGACGGAAAGAAAGAGCCGGCTGCGGTGGAAAACAGACGCCAGACATTATTTAAGGGTCAGGGGCCCCTGATTTGATTAGCACATAACATTCAGGGCAGAATACACGGAGCGAACCGACAACAACAAAGCAAAGGGGGAGGACGGAGAGCGAGGGGATGCTAGAGGAGGAGAGGAAAGGTGTTGGGTGGAGGTGGGGATGGGGGTGGGGGGGGTTGCTGAGGCTGTGTGGGCGGTGCAATCTGTCTGTGTCACAGGGATGATGAAGGGGCCAAGAGGGAGAGCTCTGCAGTTCACCTTCTGGCCTCTGGAGGAAACGCGCTGACCCTGGCCCTCCCCCGGCGCACCTTCACACTACCTGCATTACTTCACGAGCCCGCCGGGTCGCCTCCAGGCTTGCTGCCTTTGAGGACGGTCGCCCATCTAGTCGCGGCGGCGGTGCCCCGGTGCTTTTCGCGTGCGCGGCCGCATGGTGGATGAAGTCACGTGAGAAGAAAGCTATCGCGTGTCAAGGAGGAGGTGACCTGAGAGGCGGAGAGCGAGGACAGGCACATCCGCCCCAGGGTGGCGGGGGGGGGGGGGGGGGGATTGAAACAACCAGCATAGAAATAAAGGGGAGTAAAGTAAATATAATTGCGCTTTAGTTAGTTTTTCCAATATTTTCTGGTGTCAATCAATCAACCAATCAACTTCTGTTAGTTATCACCTTTCAGGCTCCGTATTGTTGTGGTTTTATAATCCTTATGCTTATATTGATTCACCATCAAGGTTGTTGAGAACTGTCTCAACAACCTTTGTTTCAAGGGAGCCAAAAGGAGGCCGAACATATTTATCATTCCTCCAAATGAAAGTAATGTAAAATCACATTTAATGAGATTTTAAGAATAATAGACTACTTGGCGTTAGATTGCTTTGATGGTTTCTTTTGCTACATATTGTATTGCCCCATTTAGTTTGATGATTGATTGAGGCTATACTACATATGAGAAGGCTCTTTCTCCCATATCCGTATATATATAAAGAGATATATGCATAAACTTGACAGGATTTAATGACAAACCATAAACACAATGCCTTTTAAATGGCTCAATAGTGAGCCGCGTGCATGGGAGATGGTCGGTAGAGATACTGAATTATGGCTTATTGTCGATGATGCTAAGTGAAAGCAATCAAAGGGGAATTGGCGGCATACGGTCTGAGAGGTGAGGGTTGAGTCGTGGGGGACTATTGCCGTTGAGTCAGAGGGATGTTCTCTGTATGGAGATGAGACGGCGATGAAGGTCGCTCCTCATCCATAACAGATGATTCATAGTCTGCCCTGACCTTTAATACCTAGACTTACCTGCCCCCCCCTCTCTCTCTCTCTCTCTCTCTCTCTCTCCGCTCGCCGCACACCGCAGTGCTCCCTTTATATGTTACACGTGTGCGGTGCACGTATTCACAGTGGGACTTGTGAATGCACAATTACTCCGCACATGCGCATGCGCCAAATGTCAAGAGTTCACTGCGGCACCTTGCTCACATCCAACGTGACAAATAACTTCTTCCTCCGGTTGCATTGTTGTAATCCCTTTAGTGGGCTGCGGAATGGAAATATAATTACATTTATGTGGCGCAGTGCCTTTGATAAGACAGCCGCACGCTGAGCTGAATGTCTAACTGAGTTGGATGGCTCTCCAAGGCCCACTCCTCTCTCCACTCTACCTCTCCCCCTTACTCAACCCTCTCCATCTACTTCTCTTGCACTGTCTTTCCCTTTTGTTCTCTCTACCTCTACTCGCTCCCCCTCTGTCATCTCCAAAAAAGCTCACTCGGCCTCTCTCTCTCTCCCCTCCCCCCCCCCCCCCGCCCAGGTATTGCGGTGGATAAAAGAGGTGTCGTCTACTTCGTCGACGGCACCACCATTCAGAAGATTAACGAGAGGGGTCTGCTCTCCACCGTGATTGGCTCAAACGGACTGATGTCGACGCAGCCGCTGAGCTGCGACGCGCGCATGGACATCGGCCAGGTAGGCCCGCAACGCGGTCTCGTCCGGATGAGTGAGAGGGAGCCACGTTTGTGTCGATCCCTTACAGTCAGTGATCATTACGTCAATCTAAATTCCCCCACAGAGACTCACTTTTGTGTGTGTGTGTGTGTGCGTGTGTGTGAGAGAGAGAGAGACCAAAGACACAGATATGATCCGCCAGCCCTGAGATCACACTGCTGACTTATATCAGCCCTATTAGAGCAGAAGCTGAATTATAGATGAACTGCCGGCTCTGTGGAGGGATCTCGGCCCACACGCGTGTGTATGTGAGTGTGGATATGCGTGTTCAGCCGCGGCCAATTCCCAGCGGTGCGCTTATGTGTCTTTAAACGGGCCCACGTCACCTCACTCGTGTAAGTAAACGCCCTCTGCGAGCGCCTTCGTCCTCCATCCTTGTTTATTCACACGAAGTGATGCGACCTCAATGTGCCATCGGTATTGACGGAAGCCGAACCGCGGCGCTTTAATTTATGCAAAGTGAACAGGCTAGATTGAAGTCTCAATTTCTGTATAAGGAACTCTAATCTAAAGTGATATTACACCATGTGCGTATGTTTTCAGAGAACCACCCCCCCCTTCCCCCTCCCCACTGCTAAAATAGAACCTAGCGCGCCTCTCTCTTGCTAACAATAGCACTAATTTTTTAAGACTTTTCAACACCCGCTGAGAGCCGGCTGCTCCTGCACACCCGTGTGCACATGCCGGCTAGCATCTCCTCTGTCACACTAATATCCCAAAGTAATGCAGAGATTAATAACATATGGTTTAATATGTGCATGGCTGCTCAAGTGTTCATTTTCTGAAAATTGCTACCAATCAAAAAAGAACCGGAGGAATATACAGCGTATGCTGCGTTCAGAGAGTCATTTGAGTTTTTCCTTTTAGTTTCAGTTTGAATTTAATTGAGCAGGATCCGCTCAACCTAACTTGTAAAAAGTGATGGCCTGCCATCACTGCAGAGTTCAATATCACGAGCGAGAGCGACGTGATGCGTGTCTTCTCGGGCTAAGGACACACTGAGTCCTGCTTGATGAATCTCTCTACCTCCTTAAGATGGGATTTCAGAGTGAACCCTCTTCTCTCTGATTTGACAGTGTCTATAATGGAGATGTCAGTGGCAATTTAACATGATCCATTTATTTACCAATCCATCCTCAAGAGTCATCCATCACCTTCGGCGATCCCGCAGACGCACTGCCTCGTCTCCGTAGCGCACACTCTCGGTGTCTGTGTGTGTGTGTTGGCGGGAGGGACAGCGATGTGGCTGCTGTGGGTTTATCTGTCTTTGACCCCCCCCCGCGGCGTTAGCGGGCAGCGTGTGCTATTTGAGCTTGCGTTGAATCACGGTTATTGGTTGACATTTGCGACAGCGCCGAGGCGAGTCTTGAATAAACAGAGGGAAGGCTCCCTGCCTGCCGCTGACCTTTGCATGAGCAGGGACGGTCAGGGGGCCTAATGCAGTGTTATTAAGGAGCTATTATTTGTATCACCTGGAACTTACTCTTGCGTATGGGGGGGGCAGTCAATACAGCTTTGTTCTTCCCTTTTTCTATTTTCTACTAGCGATGTAGTTCTGAATGTATGTTGTTTCTCAGGTGCGCCTGGAGTGGCCTACAGACCTGGCCATCAACCCTCTGGACAACTCCCTTTACATCCTGGACAACAACATAGTCCTACAGGTATAGAAACACATACACACACAAAACATGTGCTGGTTTTCTCCATCTCCATCTCCTCTTCAAGCGTTATTTTTTCTCTGAAGTAGATCGGCACTACGCACAGACGAGGGATAAAGCGCTGTGTCTCACACAGTTTACAGTGCTGTCACTGAAGGTGCATTATGAGTGAGCGAGGCTCAGAAAATTACAGCCTGATTTAAAGAAAAACCTGCAAAGTTGTCAGGGGACGTAGTCATGTGAGGTTAAATGCATTAGATCAACAGTGATTCCTCTTACCCTAAATAATTCCTGGACGCAGTTGTAATGACATACTCTCTGTTTCTCTGTTATATAGCTTGTGCATAATATTGTTTGGGTTGGTTTCCACTTCAGGTATCAGAAAATCTTCAGGTGCGCATCGTGGCGGGCCGCCCCATCCACTGCCAGGTTCCAGGTATCGACCACCACCTGGTGAGGTGGGCAGCAGTCCGCGCCACCCTGGAGGCTGCCAAGGCCATCGCCCTGTCGCACCTGGGCACGCTGTTCATCGCCGAGACCGACGAGAGGCGCATCAATCGCATCCAACAGGTCATTCTGTCAATGAAAAATAAAAATGCATAGTTACTTTCATTCATTTTTTTTCCCAAGAAGCTCTAATTGGGCTGTGAAGGGCGTTCTGCCGATGATGGATGTCGGTGGCTCTTATCCATCCATCTTACATCCACCAGGATCGCATTTATTGATATGTTGCTACCCATTTTACCTTCACACTCGTCATTGCGGTCAGGTTCTTTGCTGTGGTCGCAGATGCTCTGCAGACAAATGCACATTGGGAAATTGAAAGCATCCCAAGAAATAATAATATCTCAAAATCTCAAAAGCAAGTTTTCACTTTTCAGATAAAAAGATTCTCCATTAGCTTTACAAACAGAGTGCAATCGAAGCTCCATTCGGGCAGCAGCTACACAAAGATGTTGCGTCTGCCGCAATCAATAGTCCCTTTGTGGTCAGCAGCACCACACTGAGTCCATGTGGAGGCAGACAGGCACATAAAAAAAAAAACTCAGATGATTTTGGATGGATAGTCTGGCCACTCATGTTAGAAAGGGCAGTCAAGACTTTTTCACTGTGTTTGTCCATTTTATTTTATGCATTGTTTGTCCGGGTTATCTCTATGAAGGCTACAGCAACCAGAAGCTCCTTTTTAGAGAGTGAACAAAAGCGTCTTAAGACGACGAGTCATGAAACAGACCTAATGATGATGTGTTGCAGATTTCCTCATCGGTTTTGAAGGGCAATCAACACCTTAAAGAACTTGACAAACAGTCTGATGCAGGGGAAGCTAAATTAAATCACTTGTGAGACAGACAAGCGGCGTGCAGGTACAGCCTGACAATATGTTTTTGACGCACAGATTAACTGCTACATTTCATCTTAAATAACTGACAAATGTGGAATATTTTATCCTTCAACCAGCAGTTCTTACTTAGTTTTTCAGCGCAATAAGCCTTATTGAATGTGAGCGTGCTTTGTATCAAGGCGATGCTTTGGCGCTGCTGTTGGTACGAGCGTGTGATTCTGTCACACACACACACACACACACACACACACACACACACTCGCTCACAAAAAGCATTTGGCCATAAAATCAAGGACCCAACATCGATAACCAATACCAGTTTAATTTCATTTTTAATCTTGTATAAAGGCTGGTTCATTATTGAATGATTTTGGAGCATTGAAATCACCATCACTGCACCTAAATTAGTTCCGTTTTGAATGAGCTTGTTTGTTTTCCAGTGATGGAAAATTAAAAGAACTTGTCTTCCGTGTAGCGGGCCTACTATTTTTCAAATGGACCATTTTTCATCCAAAACAAGTCACAAGACTTTTGACTTCAGTAGGGTCATTTTTTTTAATACCATTTCTATATTTCACCAACTCTGGAAGGTCCTCCTGCTGCGACCTCAGAACTAATTAGCCCCCCTTGAGGAGAATGTTTTCCAAGAACAAGTGGACGAAATGTCTTGAAATTGGAAGTAAATGTGCATAATTATTTGGTCTTTTAGGATTGATGTTCCACTCTGATGCCAGATACCATAGACTGAGATCATCACTTTTTAAAGGAATAGTTCATGCTTGGTAGTGCAGTTATTGGCTCTCCAGATTAAAGCTACTCTTGTGTCCTTACGTTAAGTATAAGACTACGGTGCCAGCAGCAGTTTGCTCAACAGACGTGAAGCCTGGAAGCAGACTTTGTGCTTAGCTAGACAATTAACCTTGCTCGGTGAGTAACAACAAGAATACATGCCTAAAGCACATAAAGTTCTCTAATTAAACAAGTTGCATCTTGGTGATGCACTTTTTTGTAAGGCTCCACATAACCCGAACAGCTGGACTCCCAGTACCCGTAACTTCCCTATATTCCATTTGTGCTAAATTTGCAAACACGTGGAGGAGGGAGAAATACACACAATAGCACGTGTTAATTACTGCTCTAGAGGTCTCTTCTCTCTACAAGAAAGCCAATAAACCAAATCATTTTGTGTGCTCTCTTTGGACCAGTTAAGAAAACATTACCCCTCAAAGATGCATCAAATTCAAAATGTTGGTCTTGCAGTTTTCACCCTCATTTAGCAGTCTCCATCAGGACAAACGCTTTAATTTGCTTGGAGAGCTGAAGTCCAACCCAAACATTAATCAATCTGTCAACAAAGCACTGAAGATTCATAATCCTTTATTTTTTATTTTAAAAAGAACACAATAAAAATCACCTGAGATATCATCCTCAGTTGTTTAGTTGAAGCACCAGCAGACATCATTTTCATGTGGTTAATCTGTATTCCCGGCTCATTCTCATTGTAATAACGAAAATGAACATTGTGAAGATCGTGCTGCTTTGAACAATAATCACCTGTAGTATTTTGTAGTTGTGTGCGTGACGTTTTTGAACCCTTCACAGGTGTCAACCAACGGGGAGATATCGGTTATCTCTGGAGCCCCCACGGACTGCGACTGCAAGATAGACCCCAACTGTGACTGCTTCTCTGGTGGGTCATCATGGACAGACACACACACACACAGACACACACACACACTGTGCGACCGCAGGATTAAGTAACGTGAAGGTATTAGATAGTATATAATAGGATTACTGTACTAAAAACAGCATGTAACTGCAATTAAACATCTTATCAGATCATATCGTATTTGGTCTGCTTCAGATGTGTAAGAAGGAAAACAAAACCAGAACGCTGTAAAAGCTTTGACATAACTTAAATGAATTGAAACAGTCAGTGTGTCTCGATATTGAGTGATTACATCTCGTGTCCCTGCCGGCCAATGATTTTATCAGCTGAGCTTGAGAGGAACTTTTTTTCTCCTTCAACTGTCTCATCCACTGTTTTCTTCTCTCCTTGGATGTGTCTAAATTATTGATTTCAGATGGAATATTATTACCTGAGAAGGGCTGTTTTGACTCAGATAATGATGTTTTGTGTAAATGAAGACAATATACGGGAGAGAAATGACTAACTATAATGTCACATGGGAAAGTAAGCAAATGTGATTTGGATGGTAGACAGAGAGAGTGTGTGTGTGTGTGTGTGTGTGTGTGTGTGTGTGTGTGTGTGTGTGTGTGTGTGTGTGTGTGGCTTGGGTCGTATTTGTATTCTGTCACGGTGTGGTTTCACTTCCTGTTGTATTTTGTAGTTTTCTGCCACTCGTGTCCCCGGGTAACTTCACTTCCTGCCTTGTCATGTCATCCCCTGTGATCGTCTAATGGTTTCCACCTGTGTCCAATCACCTGCACCTCCCTTGTGTATTTAAGCCGTGTGTCTCCTGTGTCACTTGTCGCGTCATTGTCTTTTGCCACGCATGTCCTGTTCTTGTCTTTCGCCTCCGTAGGTTCATGCCTGTGTGTTTTTGCCCCTTGGCCTTTTGGATTTTGGACCTTTTGACTATTAAAGTCTTTTGTTTTGGAAAAGTCTGCGTTTGAGTCCTGCCTCCCACCCGCAACCCTGACATATTCATGAGGAGGCTCCTCCTTCACAAAAAGCTCCAGCTAAATTTCTGTAGGAACCAGCCTGAGAGAAACCTTTCAAATCCATTCAAATTACAGCGAATCAAATCTAGCTGCTGAAGGATTTAACTGGTCAGTGTTTTAATGGAGTGGCACCTCAAGTGTAATAAAGGGATGGAGGAAAGGACAAAACAAATAATCCGGTGTTCTTTTGACAGTTAGGCCGCCCTTTCATTCTAAGTGTCAGAGGATGTGATTTTATCATTTAATTCTGTCCATGAAAATCAGCTTCCTTTTTTATTCAAAATGGAGGGAAGTGTCTCTCCCATGCCACGAGCCAATGGCTTGTAACCATCGCTATTCCTTCGCTTGTACTTTGCATATTTTCAATCATGTCTTGCTGTTAACAGATGATTACTCTCTTCAGAGGCTTTCCGTTTCCATCCCATCCCTGCAAACAGTCGCACAGTGTCTTTGAACATGCGCACACGTGTGAGCGCACGCCCGCAAATACAAGACATGAACACACACACACACACACACATATGCACATGGTGCATGCTGTCAAGAGATAAAATGCCACCCTGCTGCCTGCAGGGAGCCAGCAGAGGCCCCGGGCTTACTGCTGACAGCATCTAAAGGGCCCCACCAGGGCTGGAATCCTGCTGCGCTACCAAAAACATCTGACTGCAGTCAGTCGCCCACTACCGCCGTCTGATAGGCCGGGCTCCCTATCAAGGTGGTCGTATCGCTGGCAACCTGCAGCATCCCAACAAATCCAAGTCCTGAGTTAAACTGATAAACGCTTAAGCGGCTACATGGGATCTTCATATTTTGCCGGGACGGTTTGTATCAGGTGTGTCGTCTCTCGGCCTCTGGAGAATCAGTCGAATGACCCGGTGTGTTGGTGTTTGAGGGGGGGCTCCGCTTGCGCTTTCATGTCCGTAAAGAGTTTGTCCTCACCCAAACTACGTCTTTTTGTTTTTCTCCTATCAGGAGATGGAGGCTACGCCCGTGACGCCCGTCTCAAAGCTCCTTCCTCGCTGGCCGTGGCCCCCAACGGCACCCTATATATTGCTGATGTGGGCAACATCCGCATCAGAGCCGTCAGCCCCAACCAGCCTCAGCCCAGCCCAGTTGGACTGATGGAGATCAGCTCCCCACTGGACCAGGAGCTGTATCTCTTCAGCCAGGTACACAATGCCTAAGCTATGAATAGTCTCCAGATCAGGGCTATTTTTAAATCAACATCCACATACCTGAGGAGTTATGCTGATTTACGGTCAGAACGAGGGCAAAAACATTTTGTACAAACACCATTACTGTCCCAGTTCACAGGACGTGTTTGTGCATTACTAAAACAAGTTGAGACATACAAAGACATTGTTCTTAGACATCAGATTACCGGAGCCTTTGGTCATGACATCATTGTCAGCTGTAAACACCAATGAGCGCAGCGCGGCGGCTGTTAGCTAACCCGTCGGTCACGCTCACATGCATCAACATGTACTAACTGATACAGGTGGAACTTTCCGCTTATTGAATAGCTTCTATAAAGCTTCAAAGGTGTGCTGAAAACATAACACGTATTCACGCATTGAGGAATAGCTGTCCCATCTCTTTGTTTCCGCGACAGAATGGCTCCCACATGCACACCAAACACCTGATCACCGGCCACTACCTGTACAACTTCTCCTACGTCTCGGACGGCCAGCTGTCCGGACTGACGAGTCGCGACGGCCGCGGCCTGCAGGTGAGGAGGGACGCTCGTGGAGTGCCTCTCTGGCTGGCACTACCTGGTGGACAGGTGTACTGGCTGTCTCTTAGCAACAGTGGAACACTGAGGAAGGTGTCAGCTCAAGGCCATGACATCGCCCACATCACTTACCATGGCAACACAGGTCTCCTAGCAACCAAGAGTGATGAGAACAGTTGGACCACTGTTTATGAGTAAGTTTTTTTTTTTTGCTCTCTCAATCTATTCTTCTTTCACTTTTTCTTTTATTCGTGGTTGGCATCCTCACTGTGTATGCGCAGACTTGGAATTGCAATCATGTGTGTGTGTGTTTAATGCGAGTCAGAGTTTCCGTTTGCGGTGTGAAATGTGAGTGCCATCTGGTGGCTGACCATCACTGTAGTAAACGGGGGGACTTTTCTGTCTAAATTTTGCTTTAGTGACTGATTATCTGAAGGACGTCTTCGCAACCCTTTAATCACACACATGTTTACTATCACGCGTATAGTACACACAAAAACACATCCGTCTACATCATTCACCGCGGACCGAGCCTCTGTCTCAAGTTCCGCAACTGGATAATTACACATATAAATCATAGTTGACAGTTACTCTGTGGCGATGTTTGTGCACGACAGGAGAAACGGAGGGATAGTGCGTATGCATACGTGCGTTTATTGGCTTGTGCGAGTGCTATTTGCCGAAGAGACAAACTCCTCTGTGTGTGTGTATGTTTTTGCAGGTTAGCGATTGTGCATCATCCTCTTTGTGTTTCCTCTCCAAGGTACAACAGTGAGGGCCGCGTGACCAACATCACCCTCCCCACGGGCGAGGTGAGCGGTTTCCACGGCAACCTTGAACGTTGGTCTCGGGTGGAGGTCGACGCGTCCACCCGAGAGAACTTTGTCACCAGCACCAACCTGTCTGCCAGCGACACCATCTACACCTTCAGACAAGGTAAGGCGTCATCAAGTGTTTGTTCACACGCGACGGAGGTCGGTTGGGTTGTTGGTAAGCTGAAGGAAGACAGACTTGCCTCATAGGAAAGATCATAGCCTCGTCACAACGCATCCACCCCCATCGAGCTTACCACCAACTTGTCGAAAGGCCGCTTTTGACTCAACCCCCGGGGGGCTACATACACAGATGTGTGAGACGGTGGGAGACTATGAGGGCTCAGCCATGTTTAAAAATGCATGCCTGGCAAACTGCAGTAACATGACTAGTATTCTGGTCTGGTCAAACCCACTGACCTGCGTTTTTGTAGTAGTTTATTTTATATAATCCTTCTGATTAGTGAGCGAGAGAGTCACAGTGAGTGAGAGAGTCACAGCATTTGGGAAAAGGATTTTTCCTTTCTATAGAAAATTCGGCAACCATATGACTTTGTTACATGACCGCACTAAAGGAAAGTAAAAGTATAATACATATATACATACAGTTTATGTATATTATTTTCAAAAAAGATGCAGACCAGACTGACTTGTGAAACGCATTAATGGTGTTAGGATGAAAAAAAAACAAAAAAACGGAAGAGAGGGCAGAGATGAGAAGAGGAGAAAATGAGAGTGGAGTGGAGAAGCCGCTCATGGGAGCAGTTTCCTCTCATGTCATCCCTTTAATTGCTTTCCAGCAGTTGTCACAATGACAGGACTGCAGGGAGCGAAAAGCTGCTCCAACACACACAGAGCGCACATGCACAAACGCAGGCATGTGCAGAGTATGACAGAGCTGCCAGGGAAGAACTGAAATAGCCCCCTATTTTGGAGAGTGCCACCCCCTGCCCCTTTTTACTTTCACCCCCCAGAAACTCACTGTCTTGCCCTGCCTCTAAAACTACATTTTTACGATAATTTTTGCTATTTCTTTCTTCATTTCATTGAAAAATTTTAATTGTTAATTGGAAATGAGCAGAGGCATAAGGCAGCTATGCAGGCATATGTTACTTCTTGGTAAAATTGTATTTAGAAAACTGTTAAACCCAAAGCCCAATTTCTGAGAATAGTTTTGCGCCTTGTGAAAACACGGGCCCTGCCCATCTGACCGTCTCCTCTTTTTTTTTCATCGCACTCTCACTCTTTCGGTCTTTCTTTCACATGGTCTCCTTTTGAACAGGTGACATCCATCCAAAATATGGAATAGAGGTTACAGTACACTGATGTTGTTGAGAAAACAACATCAGCCGTTAATTCAGAACCCCAGTAGAAAAAGCCAGACTTGTATTCATAACAATTATGTAGTCAGCTTCTGTAGCTCAACACCGTGTTTCTTAGTTGTTTTGCATAGACAATAACACAGACAATGTTTTCTCACACTTTTTTTCATATGTTGTGTTGTTTCAAATGTGTGCGTATGTGGTTTTGCACACCTTTGTGTTCTGTGTTTGTGCATCTCTCTACGTGTGTGTAACCGTCCCAACACCTCCAGACCACGCTCAGAGTTCGTACAGAGTCAGCGCCGACGGGTCCTTCCTTGTTACGCTGGCGAGCGGGATGGAGCTGTCACTCATCACGGAGCCCCTCCTCCCCGGAGGCACTGGGGGAGGAGTCAGTCCCACGGCCAGCCGCTGTAACATCAGCCTGCCGGGAGACCACGCCCCCAGCCTTATAGAGTGGAGGCAGAGGAAGGAGCAGAGCAAGACTAACTACAGCACCTATGAACGGAGGCTCAGGGTAAACCACTAAATCACCCGCTTATTGTTCAGCTAAATTGGATAATATAGAGACTCCAGTCCCCTAAATTCATTACTACAAAAAGACAGCCTGTATTAAACCATTGTGGTAACCAGTAAACACCAGCAGCATTATATGGAAACTGGTGGGAATCGTCCAACATCATTTGAAGTACACAGAGTTTACCAAAAGTTGTCGCAATCTGACCTCTGACCAAGATATGACATTTCTCAGTGAAATCTACTCAGCGAGCCTTCCAATCTGTAGAGCCGTTTGAACAACGCCCCAGCTTGCTGTTACACAAGGTGTTAGATGCTTTGCGAGACTAATGGTGTCGCTGTGAGTGAGATGACTCACAACCCGTTCGTTGTACTTTCCACAAATCACACACCCCAACTGCAACTCCTCTTCTCTTTTTCCTTGGAACAAAAAGTACACCCCTCATATTTCATATTTCATTATATTCATTAAACAGCAATGCCCAAGCCTCATTCCTTGACTTGATTTATTGTTGTTATGCAGGTCCAGTTGGTTCTAAATGTCCCAATTCATTTATCCAAACTAATGAAATATGTCTCCGACATACCACTTTATTCATAATTGCTTGTCCGCGGGCATATTTACATATCTATGGTGATTTTAAAGCAGTAAAATGAAAAAAATAAGTTCTATTTTGTTCAACCTTTAGCTGATATTTCAATGCTCTCCTTTCAGGCACACAACAGGAACCTGCTGTCCATAGACTTTGATCAGAGCACCAGAGTAGGGAAGATCTACGACGATCACAGGAAGTTCACACTTCACATCCAGTATGACTCGCTGGGCCGGCCCGTGGTCTGGTCCCCCAGTAGCAAGTACACCGAAGTGAACATCAGCTACTCTGCTGGAGGCCTGTTGTCATCCATTCACCGCGGAGTCTGGTCCGAGCGGCTGGAGTATGAGAACGACAGGGTGGTGTCCAGGGCCTGGGTCAATGGCAAGATCTGGAGCTACACATACGCTGATAAAGTGAGACCCGCACACGTGGAAAGCATGTAATTATGTGTGGCGGGAGGGGTGGGGGAGACAGCGTTAGTCATAGTTTCTTTGATGGCTTTTTTCTTTTGATTTTTGCAAAACTCTCACACGGTTGCTCTTCCTTTGTGCTTCAAGGTGATTTTAGTGGTAAGCAAAACCAAAACCAAAACTGCGAGAGGCCCTTGTGTTGTTTGAAATGAGAAGCTACAAATTGAAAACACAATTTAAAATAATTTACAGCGCTATACTGAAAAATCTATAAATGTATTCCTTCCTTTGAGGGAGCCTCTAGGTTGCATTCGTTTTATTCAACTTTGAAAATCAATTTGCCGAGTGAAGATTATGTCTGAGTTCACTTATCCAGACTTTTTAAATCAGTGTGCACTTAAAGCTGCACTAAGCAACAGCACCATGGCTTTGAGAGCCTTACAGGCAGCCAAGATATTCATTATGATGAATTACGTAACTGAAATGAGTTCACCGGTTCTGTAAGTTGAAAAGAAAAGAAACGAGTGGTTTCCTGAAAGTGGGTTCTACTGGCAAACGGTTAGACATGTTGTACAAGATACAACGTACAACACAGAGGTACTGCAGAGCTGGCAAGTTTTCAATAAACCTTGGAGTCAGACGATATGGTTGATGTGGGGGGGTGCTACAACCGACGGGGCTCCACCTTCCGTCGAGGTTGAAGAGGAACCAACGCAGCTCGGACCGAGGTCCGTTTTTTTTGCGTTGGAGCGTGAGCGTTGGATGTGTGGTGTGAGTGTGTGTGAAAACAGCTCTGGTATTGTGTCTTCCGTCAAACGTGTTCACAGCTACCTGCAGATATACTTTCCGTGCTTAAGATTAATTGAATTATTTAATTAAATTATATTTAGCCTGAAATGTATTTCATGTCTGCTTGCGCAAATGAGTTTATATTACAGAACCATCTTGAAATTCGTAATTCCAACATATATTATTAATACATCAATATTATACCTCACAGTTAAATATTTTTTTAGGTCTGCAGGCAAAGATTTTTAATCAAGCTTCCCGGAAAATTAAATAAAAATTCAACACTAAACTAAATTTCAGAAAAACCAAAAGCTCCAGTTCTGGGGATTTAGTCTAATAATTAAGTGGACAACCTATCGGTAAATAGGGTAAACACGACTTTAACAAATGGATATTGAAATGAAACTTCCCCACTATTTTAAAATATATAGTATGTATATATAGAGAGAGAGAGAGAGATTTAACATATAAAATGAAAATGTGCCATTTGGTGAATTTAGGAGATATGTATAGACTCACGTAGACAGATTGTAGTAAAATAAACATCAAAACCCTGACTCTCTTTAGCTGGTCTGAAGCAATAGTGCAAACTCTACTTTTGTGTTGTCTTGCCTTAACTGAACAATGAATGGAGAACTAAAACCCAGGTTTCACCTGGTTTGGTTTCACCACATTGAAATAAAAAATAAATGTATCAGACAAAGAAAGAAAAGACACATCCCTGCACAGAGCTGCAGGATTATAACTCGGCCTTGCATCCGTCTGTGTCCCCGCAGTCCATTATGTTGCTTCTGCATAGCCAGCGGCGCTACGTCTTCGAGTACGACCAATCGGACCGTCTGGTCGCCGTGACGATGCCCAGCATGGTAAAACACTCCCTGCAGTCGCTCCTATCCATCGGCTACTACAGGAACATATACACTCCTGCGGACAGCCAGTCCTCCTTCATGCAGGACTACACCTTGGACGGGCGGCTGCTGAGGACCCAGTACTTGGGAACAGGACGCAGCGTCATCTACAGGTACGCTTGCAGGAACTGGACCTCCTGCTGGTTTCGTCGGTTGATTTGAGGAGGCAGCGCAGTCTGGAAGAGGTGAAGTAGGCGATGCTGCCAGTCGAATTTGCTGAAACTATCGGCAGCAAGCCGTATTGACAACACAATGCTGATTGGCTTGATGAAGGTGGTATAATTAAAGCTAATTCTCCAAAATGTAAAAGCCCCATCACACAGCCCCGTGCCGGGCGGACACAGAACGTGCCACAGACCCAGCTGTCCTTGCAAATGACTCGTGATTAGGCTAATGTGGAGACTGATTAAAGGTCACGTTTATTATCATCACACTATGTCAGACACCACCGATCTGATTGGTGAAAGTTGGGGGAGTGCATTCAGCATTTTAGTACTCGTAGGCATGGTGGGGACATTAATGGCCCAGTTTTGGAGATTTGAGAGGCCATAACTGCCCTAACAGCCAGTTTGAGTTTGATTAAATGTTAAAGGATGGTGGAACTTCTTCCTCAATGGCCGTGGGGGGGTCTTTGTATGATTCAAGACCTGTATGTTTCCTTATATTAGAGTTCACGTTTCGTACCATGCATTTTGTTTTTTGTTTTTCCACTATGAGTTATCATCTCTTCCATTTTACAGTTATTTATTTTTCTTCATTGTTTTTCAAGGTACACTCCGGCCGCGAGGCTCTCCGAGGTGGTTTATGACTCCACCCTGGTGACCTTCACTTACGACGAGGCCTCTGGCACTGTCAAGACCATTCATCTCACCCACAACGGCTTCATAAGCTCCATACGCTACAGACAAACGGGTACGTATACACACGCGCTCGCGGTACCTGCGGCCGACTGCCACAGATGTAAAATATTTACAATGTGCAATGATTCATCTTTAAATGGATCCTTCCAATCGATATATCTGAGCATAAAAATGTCGCGTGAGCACAACTCAAAGCATGTGCACATTGACCAGAATGCATTATCGCGCATCCTGACACAGACAAGTTGAGTGGTATCAAAGTCTGGCTTTGAGTCAGCCATGCTGCTATTTCATCTGAGACTGACACAGTCACAGTTGGCAGTCTGAATAGAGAAAGCCATATTTTGAGTTGAAGACACTGTGGTCTACCACAGCTGTAAATACGAGATCCCCCCTCTTAGCTGTGAGCCGCTCCACCAACCCCCCCACCCCCACCTCTTTCAGTGCAGACCGGCCTGCCTGATCAAGTGAATGCATGAATGTGAACTAACATAATAAGAACATTTGTTCACCTTTTCACATTCTGTCTGCGTGGGACAGGAAATCCAGAAATCCTCCCCGAGGCCGTCAATTGTAACGCGAAAATGGTTTCACTTCTGAATCGGAAAAATTGGTTGGAAAGACACTTCATAAATTGCAGCACTACCCTGTAATGGCATTACCGTCAATTGGCCCCTTTAGCTGTGGCGGCAGCTATGTTCGGACGCCCTCATTGTTAATACGGTTCAACAATTCCCCTCAAGTTACAGTCTTTCCCGGGTCGTTGAGAGCGCTCTCATCTCTGCTGCTGGTTCGCCTCACACATTGGCTCGTGATGATCGGGTCTTCATAATCTACGTGGCACAGCTGTTTGTGTGAATGTGTGTGTGCCCACTCTTGTTAAGGAACATGTGTGTGTGTGTGTGTGTGTGTGTGTGTGTGTGTGTGTGTGTGTGTGTGTGTGTGTGTATTTATCGCTTTGCCCTCACTGTGAATAGACTCTCACCTTCCTTTAACTGATCTCATTTCAGCAGAACAAACGTAGCCTAGGAGAGAGGAGAGATTGTGGTAATTGTCCCTTGAGAGGAGACAAGGAAGAGTAGGGACCAATAGAAGACAGAGACAGATATAGAGAGAAGTAGGCGAGGAAGAAAAGGAACATAAAAGATGACAGCTTGGGAAAGTGACAGCTAGAGAAGCGAGACGGGAACAGGCTGCGGGTTCCCTAGGGCCATAGAAAAACATCCACCTCACTCTCTCTTGTGCTGCTGCAATTCCCCCATTAGCGCAGGTTTAGAATTAACATTCCACAGAAAACAAAAACAGAGGATGTAACGCTGATCCGGCTCTCTGCAGCTTCCAAACCTCGATACTTAGTCATGTTAACTGCAATCAGAGTCATCTTGAATAGCACCATAATGGTGTTTCATTAGTAGGCCTTTTACCAAATGGATGAGGAGCTCTAGAAGCCAGTAGCGGAGGTGATGAATGATGTTATTAAAGTGGATGTTCTGACATTAAGAAGCACATTGGTCCATCATGGCTATTGTCTTTAGATTTCATTATCCCTCTATATTAAAGGTCACCATTGGAAATGCCATAGCGGTGTGGGGATAGTTATGTTGGAATGGATTGCACTGCATGCGTCTGTGTTAATGATGTTGAGTTAGTCCTTGATTTGAATTAATTATGGTGGCTTGTATGCAAAGCAGAGTGGCCTACTGTGAGGGGCGTGTGTACACATGCGTTTGTGTTGTGTGTGCGTGTGTGTATAGTAGATTCACATGTTAATGTGGGTCATTTGAAACTTAATATTGGGGATTTTCTCACACGGAATCTCTCCGTAGGTCCCCTAACAAGTCGGCAAATCTTCCGCTTTAGCGAAGAAGGGTTGGTCAACGCCAGATTTGACTACAGCTACAACAACTTCCGAGTGACCAGCATGCAGGCAGTCATCAATGAGACGCCTCTTCCCATTGATCTGTACCGATACGTGGACGTGTCGGGACGGGTCGAGCAGTTTGGCAAGTTCAGCGTCATCTTTTATGACCTCAACCAGGTAGGCAGAATACTTTCGATGACAAAACACTAATTAATTAGGACCTTTTGTAGTCTAACTTAGAACTCATCACAGTAAAACACATTTATTGAGGCTCTTTGTTTAGTTTTACTGCCCAAAAATTCATGGTTTCGGTTCATTATAGACTCTCATCAATCGCAAACCCAACCCGTCTCACCTACGTCTGCCTAGGTGATCACCACCCATCTGATGAAGCACACCAAGGTGTTCAACTCCTACGGCCAGGTGGTCGAGGTCCAGTACGAGATCCTGAAATCCATCGCCTACTGGATGACCATCCAGTACGACTCGGCAGGGCGGACGACCACCTGTGACATCCGGGTGGGCGTGGACAACAACGTGACGCGCTACACTTACGAGTACGATGCCGACAGCCAGCTGCAAAGTGCCTCTGTTAACGAGCGGCCCCAGTGGCGCTACAGCTACGACCTCAACGGGAACATCAACCTGCTCAGCCATGGGACCAGTGCTAGGTAATCTCTCGCTGCCGGTACCTGCGACCCATTTTAAAGCAACACATGGGTTGTCTGCACAATTGTCTTTCACACGTTGTTATGATCTGTTTTTAGCCTTGGTAGCAACTAGGCTTTATGTCAGTTGGTCCAGATCGAATGATCCAAACTAACGTTACTTTAAAAACCATGTGTGCTAATTGTGCTAATTAGCAAATATTAGCTGGCTAACGCGCTAAACGACTTGGTTAATATGACATCCTGCTAATCATCTGCTCCTTAACATTGTCAGTGCAGTACATGTTAGACATATTCTGTAAGTTCTCAGCTGTATTGATGAAGGAATGTGTTTGGTTTGATTCCAGACTGACGCCGCTGCGTTACGACCAGAGAGACCGCATCACGCACCTCGGCGAGCTACAATACAGCGTGGATGAAGACGGTTTCCTCCGCCAGCGAGCCAACGACCTGTTCGACTACAACTCCAACGGCCTGCTGACCCGCGTCTTCAACCGGGTGACCGACCGCGCCGTGTGGTATCGCTACGACGGGCTGGGCCGGCGCGTGGCCACCAAGAGCAGTCAGGGCGAACAGCTGCAGTTCTTTTACGCCGACCTCTCGCACCCCACCAGGGTCAGCCACTTGTACAACCACAGCAGCAATCTGATCACCTCGCTGTACTACGACCTGCAGGGCCATCTCATCGCCATGGAGCTCAGCAGCGGGGAGGAGTACTACGTCGCCTGCGACAGCGTGGGGACTCCAAGGGCAGTTTTCTCAAGCAAGGGGCGACTAGTCAAAGAGATCCTGTACACGCCCTACGGGGAGGTCTACCAGGACACCAACCCCGACTTCCAGCTTGTCATCGGCTTCCACGGAGGCCTGTACGATCCCCTCACGCGGCTCGTCCATTTAGGGAGGAGAGATTACGACACGCTAGCCGGTCGGTGGACTTGTCCCAATCACGAACTGTGGGGGGAGTTGAGCAAGGAGCCGAAGCCATTCAATGTGTATGCCTTCAAGAATAACTGCCCGGTCGGCAAAGTAGAGGGGGTGACGGAGTTTACTACAGGTGAGCCTCACACATGCAGTCATTCACACGAGGTGCCACATTACAGCTCTCCCACACACACACACACACACACACACACACATACATACATTCATACATTCACACCCACAAGGGAAACACCTGCCATAGAAAGTGGGTGAACGGGCCGCACAGCTCACCTATGGCGGCGCAAAGAAATGAGGTGACAGGCAATGTACTGGCAACAGAAAGGACAGCCGAGCCTCTGATCAACTTGTTTTTTAACGCAGGCTGTTATGTTTTGTTCCCTCCATCTGTCAAGAACACAATGTTTCCCCGGGAGACCAAATAGAAACTGAGGCGAGGGAGAGAGATGGAATAGGAGAGCGGGGGAATGAATGCAGGATGTCGGTGGGGGCGTATGTCCTTCTGGTTAATGGAACATTCATTTGGCCTGTCACGTTTCCCTGCAGCGGGATTGTTTATTAGAGATTTTGTTTGTCAGGGAAACACCAGCCGAGCCGTCTCTGCCCCGTATTATGATCATATACTGTGTGATTTCTGAACAAGGTGTTGTTTTCCTGACCTTATGACTTTTTGTTTGTTTCACTGTATACACGTTATATTCTACCTCTCAAGCCGTGAAATTGTGTCTCTTTCTTTGTCCGTGTGTGTGTGTGTGTGCGTGTGTGTGTGTGTGTCTCCAGGCATTGGTAGCTGGTTGCAGCTCTTTGGTTTCCAGCTTCATAACGTCGTTCCGGGCTTCCCGAAGCCTGAAGTGGGTCGAATGGAGCAAACGTATGAACTGATGAAGACGCAGACCAAGACGCAAGACTGGGACTCCAGCAAGGTGAGCCTTCCACCTCGACAGTCACAGGCTGGACTCAACATCGCGTTGATAGAACAATAACATTTACACAAAATAGATTTTTTGATTATAATTACTCCATTGTCATTGAAGTCACATAAGTCAGACTTGTAAGGAGTTGTTTCTGTTCTGTCATTTTACATTTTATCTTTAAAGTTTAAACTGTTGGTTCATAAATGAAAAATCAATTTGGGCCTCTAGTTGCAATTCCATGAACATGACAACATGAGTAGCTCAGATGAACTCACATGTGTAATAAATTAATGTTCAAAATTTTTTACTACAATCCATCCATTACACATTGCATGGGACACAATTACAGATGTAAAAAACAATAACTTTATTAATAAAATTGTTTTTCGTGTCTTTTTTGTAATTTACTTCATTCATTTGGATATTTAATTTCAACCCATATCACAATTTCATTACAGTACAAAGAATTCTTAAAGCCCATTTCCGGCAGTAAAAAAAAAATTAAATCATAGCAGTAACTTTTTATCTCAAAATTCACCAAATAATGACTTTTGAGACATTTGAGTCCTGATTTTGAGATAAGTAAGTCTTTCAAATGTTGCAGCTTCTGTTTTTCTGCAGAAGTTTTGATAGCAATTGGTAATTTAAGACATTACCTAAAATTCATCCAGCACCGATGCCCCAATAGTGTGACTCACTGGATGCAGACTGCAGGCGTAAGCATGCCATTGGTGCATATATCTGATCAAATTATTCCATTATCTGCACCGCCGTCTCTTTTGCAAAGGCACCGTTGCTATATCCTGTGCTTACAAGACTGATCACTTCAAAGAAATACAAACAAGCCATACCATTCTTCCCCCAAATTCAAAGTGATACGTTTTGGAGGCTTTCTTTAGGTTTATTTAGCGCTGACACAGCAATGTGTAGATAAGTCAGGCTCTGTGGGACTGGGAAAGCAAAAATTGTATTATAATTATATTTACATTCCCCTAAGGGTTTGCCTTTGTCTCAACAAATATTTTGAATTGATATATTTGACTTCATAGTCAGAAAAGCGCCGTTGTTATTAATAGCATTAATTAAGTCTCTAATCAAGTGTCTATACTATGACAGCGCGCACAACACCAGAACCATGAAACTGAGACAGCTGAAGAGAATTCAGAATTGGGCTGTCATTCATTCTACTGTTCCCAGCTGTGCTCCTAGTCACATGTCTGCCGCGAAAATTACCTTTTGTGCGTTTGTCCAGTGAGCGATCCAAACACACAAATATTAACGTACTTTTTATCTTACAATTCAAAATGTCTAATGACACATATTCTAAGCGCACTCAAACCTCTGTGTTTTATTTTTGAATACTTAACCAGTTGAATGCTACCCCCCCCCCCCCCCCTCGCTCCCCCAGGTTGTTTTGGGGATCCAGTGCGAGCTGCGCAGGCAGCTGAGGAGCTTCATCTCCCTGGAGAGGCTCCCCCTGGTCTCGGAGCCTGTGGGCTCAACCCGCCACAGGCCGACAAGCCCCCCTCCCTTCGCCTCCCGGCCGTCTCTCCTCGGCCCCAGCATCCGCTTCGCCGTCTCCCACGGCCACGTCAGCGCCGAGGTCATTGGCGTGGCCAGCGAAGACAGCCGCCGCGTGGCAGCCATCTTAAACGGCGCCGTTCACCTGAGCGGGCTGAGCTTCACCGTGCACGGCTGCGACACCCACCACTTCCTGCAGTCCCGGCCGATCGAGGAGGACCTCGCTCTGGGGTTGGGCGTCGGGGGCCGCGTCCTGGAGAGCGGCGTGAACGTCAGCGTGTCTCAGATGAGCGCCACGGTGAGCGGCAGGACTCGACGATTCGCCGATATCACCCTGCAGCAGGGGGCGCTGTGTCTGTGCGTGCGCTATGGCGGGAGCGAAGAAGAGGAGAGGGCACGTGTGAGGGACGAGGCGAGGAAGAGAGCGGTGGAGGGGGCGTGGCAGAAGGAGAGGATGAGGGCGGATTTGGGGGACGTGGGGAGCCGGGCGTGGAGCGAGGCGGAGAAGCAGCAGCTGCTGTCTGCAGGACTGGTCCAGGGCTACGACGGCTACTACTCCCTGCCTACAGAGCAGCAGCCCGAGCTATCCGACTGCCCCTCCAACATCCACTTCATGACACTAAGCGAGGCGGGGGGCAGGTAACAGAGACACGCGAGCAGCCCCCCACCCCACCAAAGACTGCCTGTTTCTATTCTACTCTGATTTGTTCTACTGTTTCTATACTGTATCAAAAAAGAAGTGTGAAAAGAAGAAGAAGAATATGACGACAAAGAAGAACAAGAAGAGAGATCGGGGGGGGGAAATGATTTCCAAATGCCTTTAATTGTGACAAAATGATGGTATTTTATTATTATCGTCCAGTTCTCCAATTTCTAACAGTGGCACAAGCAGTGTGGTTTGGCTGTGGCTTTGCTTTTTGTATCCTGACTGGCCTGGGACCGACTGACCGACCGACCGACCGACTGTCAAAACCGACGGGCCGACTGTCCGTCATTTGCTGTTTAAAACACTGTTTCTTCGTTTTGGGATTCACTGTAGAGATGAAGACTTTAGGGTTCCCAAGTCTCTGAATGACTCCGAATCAAGAGCTCTCCGGTGGCCATTTGAGTTCCTCCATGGTTCACCTCGGATATACTATCGTTTACATGTGTTGTAAGAGAGGCCTTGTCAACTCAGGCACTCCCCTTTAGAGAAGGAAACCTCTCCGGTTTATCCGCCTCTGGTGTGCTCCAACAGTAGTTTGTATGAGTGTGTATACTAAAATCAAGAATGTACATAGCCAGTGCTTTCACACTGAAAAACATGCTCAACTGGAAACTCTGTTGTTCATAAGTAAGTGTCAGTATTGTTAATCAATAGAAAAACAGTTACATTTTTGCAAAGAATTATACATGGCTATAGTAAATATTCTCGCTGACTTTATTGGATTACAATGCTGATTAAAGTTATTATGTGTGAATTACCAGATTGCCTGAGGGGATTTTATCGGCATTGTTGCATCGCCATCTCTCTCTCTCTCTGTCTTTATCTCTCTATGTCCCTCCCTCTCCCTCTCATTCTTTCTCCCTCCTTCTCTCCATCGCCTTTCCTCCACACATTTTGTATGCGCTCTTTGTTCTTGTTTCCTGGAGTTTGTTATTTTCCAATCTGGGCTGTCATGATCACCCGTCATTATGGCTCAAACTGAGATATGCATGGGAACTGCGTCTGTCAGAAAAGGAGAAGGAGGGAGAGAGAGGGGGAGTGAGGGGGGGGGGGAAAGAGCAAAGAGGAAGGGAAAAATAAATGTGACAGCTGAGACTCGGTGAGTGGGTGGTTGGTGCAGAAGGGGCAGGACCTGGAGTTGGCTGTGCCGTTCTCTACAGCTTGTCTCCTCTCATTAGGAAATGCCAATCAGACTGCTTGTGAACTACTTCCAAGCCCCCTCCCCCCTTCCCCCACTAAAAAAAAGAAGTTTTAAAAGAAAGTAGAGAAGTCTTTTTTTTTTTTTTTTAATCTAGCTACCACTAATCCACCTCCCCGTCCGTCTGTCTATCCCCCACTCGCCACCCTCTCACAGTCGCTCCACCATCTGCCGACCATTAATTGTTTGTGTTTCTCTCCCAGGCTGCGCATGACAAAGCCGCAAAATGCATATGTTCTGACTGCTAACAGGTGAAACACGATCCTGACTAGCACGCTGCTGATCGGCCGCAGTGCACCTTCCCTTCTAAACCATATGCTGCGTTAGATACTCTCCAACCTCATCCTGATTTTTGAAAAGATGTAGGGTCCGGTTGCTAGGAGACCGCTGCACTAAAGGATGGTCCGGGCTGAATGGATGCTATCTCTCTCTCTCGCGCTTTTTCATGAAGAGCCCGTAATGTCAATCAGATGAATGACAGGATTCCCCCGTCCCCTCACCCCTCCTCACCCTCCTCTCTCAGTCAGCATTCTCTCCTCGAAAATTAGTACCTCAATATGTCAAATTGAATTTTTGTTTCGCATTATGTGTCAGTCGGAGGCTCTGGTGTGAGTGGCTGTGTGTGCATGACCTCATTTAAAAGAGTTTATTCCAACCAATATCATTTATTTTATTTTCCATTCGCACAACTAAATTGCATTAAGAAAACAGAGCACAGTATTTGTTGTCAGCTTACGTATGCAGCAATGGATATTAATGTTTCAGCAGTTGAATATTTTACAACACATCCATGAAAGTTATGAGGCTCTTTCTGTGCAGCAGAGGGGGAAGCAGAAAAGAGATCCTAGTCACTGCTTACAACCACGTAACAAATGAGGATCTGAATAGTTGTAACGAAAGAAAAAGAAAAAAAATGAAAATTTGCAAAATGTCTGCATCACGGCAAGAGTATTCTTGTTTTAATTTAGGTATAGTGAGGGTTTAGGTCAACCCCTAACCACTAACCAGAAACCTGCCGCACCTCCTTCCTGTTTTTGTGGCCCTTGGCAGTAGAAGGAGGGGCACGCTGCTGGAGGTGAGCAGCGCCGCTGTGCCTCGGCGGCGGCGCTGCTTCTGTCTGTGAGTGGGCCCGGGCCTGGGCTGTGACGGGGTACAGCAGAGGCATCGCAATCCCTTGTCCCGGCTCCTGGAAAGCCACTATCAAATTCCTGATATGCCGGAAATATCGTTTCCGCACACCGGGTGTTGTCTGAAACAAAAGAGGGGAGGAGCGGGGGGGGGATTTTAATTCTTCATTTCCACTTTAAATCCCACGGGAGAATGAAGAGGAAGTGGACCGACTCTCAGTCACCTTATAAAAGACACCATGACACGCTGAAGAAAGTAGAGGCGCTGCAGCACATTGTGGGCAGGGAATCACGGCAATTATGTTTCATTTATCTGGTCCACTGATCCACGCTGAGATTCCATTTATATATTTATATACATAAAATAAATCAATAAATAAGTTGATTAAAAAATAAATGGTACTGTAATTGCTCTTTCAAACTACGGTAGAAAGATGAAAGGTATACTCGAATGTTTAAAAACTTAATAAGTATTTACTCTCCTTGGCCTTTAAAAAAAATATTTAGGTAGACAATGTGTTTGTGTTTAATTTCAGATTTACGAGGTAAATTGAAGTGTCCCAACAGTATCTCAACAGCTATTGTGCAATTGTCACTGAAGAGAACTTAAATAAACAGAATTTAATGAATTCTATTATAAACAAAATAAGTTGTTCATAATTACTTGGTTACAATGATCCTTATAAACGTGGCTTAGAGCAGTCAGTTAAACGTGAATCTTGAAAGCATTATCTGTATTTGTATCATGATTTATTAATTATCTTACTCTGTGATGGTGAAATAAAACAATCCATTTTCGAATGCATTCAATTAAACGCAGAAGGAGCCCTTTGGATGTCTCCGTCTCCGGCCACCGGTGTTACCTCCGTTCTCTGTGATATTTCATTAAAGTGAGTGATATTGCACATGAATAATGTAAACTGTTTCCCGAGATCGTAGTGAAACTCGTTTCGTCTGTTGGCTTGACGGTGTCGGTGAAAACGGGCGAGGGCCAAATGTAGTTACGACAGATTGTAGCTTTAGCTGTCAGCCGGAGAGCGACTTGAGACGTCTCCCTGGGTTCACGGCTCTGTGTGTTTGCCAACCCTCCGTGCTCCATTACATGCCCCATCAGAAAGGCTGTCAAGTGCAACTCTACGTTTCTCGTTTGTGGAGTATATGCTGATGCTGTGGAGGCTTAAACGCATGTGCTGTTGCAAGGTGGATATATCACAAGGGTGTTACAGCGAAAGGGAAAGAACCCATTTCTCAGCGCTGCCGTTCTTGTCAAAATAAAGAGAAAAAAACACACAAAAAAGAGTCATGTTCGCCTCAAATTCATGGCTCGCTAAATTAGGCTGTCACAAAACAGCCTCTGGAGCTAATCAGCAGCAGCCACGGCGAGGTGGTGGACGTGGAGTTTTGCTGCTAAATTTCTGCAAAGAATGAGAGCGAAAAAAAAAACAATGATAAAAGGTCTCACATCAGCAGCCCACGAGCCCGCGTCGTCCTTGTGGAGCCTGTACGTGTAGACGAATCCTTCGAACCTGCGCGCACACACACACACACACACACACACACACACACACACAGAGAAACACAGATTTGACCCTTGGCTGCTATTTCGGTTTTAACGAAGTACACATTTGCCCTAGCAGTCATCATCATTGTCATGATGGTTTCTGTGAGACTCGCGTGTCACACTTAATAAAAGGCCAAAATACAGCTCGATTTAATTGAATACTTCTGCTTATGCCTTTTGTGCTTTTATTTTCCCAGCTGGGAGGAGATCAATGATCTCTAAAGAAGCAGAAAATAGGATTCAACGTGATCACCGGGGTCTATTTTTGTACTCACAGCACACACAGGCAGTAGACGCCCGGCACAGAGTCGCTGTCGCGGACGAGGTAGGACCCGTCCCGCCCGTCCCGGGCCAGCCGCCTCTCCCCCTCCTCCTTGCCGATGGGCCCGTGGTAGACGGGCAGCATGTCCATCACGGCTCCTCTGTGGCTCTGCTTTGTGTTCCGCGCCCAAGTGCCAGCTGTGCTCTCCACGCTCTCTTTCTCGCGCAACTTCAGATTTGCACCGCAGGCAAGCCTTTTGGTCTTCACTGTGAATCCTCCAGGCTGGGAACACGGCTAAGGAAGCTTTACGGGCTCTCATTTGATTTTGCGGTTCTTGTTGTTTCGAATGTCCGTTTGGGAGGCCGAGCTTAGGCGAGCCAGTTTACTGATATCTCGCTTTTCTTACCCAGAATGAGAGCAGCTCTCTGTAACTAACTGTACTGTCTTGTTGCTCAGCCTTCCCCTTTCACGTCAACACAAAACACACACACACACACACACACACACACACACGCACGCACGCGCGCATACATCTGCACACATGCAAAATGTGGTTTTGTGTTTCTGTCAGGAAATGATGTATTTTTTAACAGGAAATTACTTCAAAGATTGTACCTGAATTTTTCAGAAAAAAAACAAGAAAATGTCAATTGTGCAATGTTTTTTTCTAGCTAATTCATCTAGCTGCTCTGTTTACCTTAAAGAGAAGTTTGCTATTTCTGTTTCCACCACAGTTCCAAGAAAAGCAATATATTTTTCACCCCACACGAATTCAGCAGAGGAACTACTAAGATCCTCTATTTGCTGTAAGTAGGCCTACTATTGTGAATTCAGTATTTGAACTGTTGCCTAGGCTGCAGAATTTAAATGTACTTATATGGAAAGTATTCATCCGGCAGTCGAATGGGCGAGGTGAGAGATATGGGATATATTCACTGAAATGTATCACACACTTATAAAGGCTGGCGCATGCTTCTGCGTCTTTACGCACCGCCGTGTCCACGCACTCGTTTCAATTCATGGTTCATGAAGTCTTGCGTGTGTTGCACAGCAGTTCACCACCAGAACAACAGGTGGAGTAACGTGTTTTTGTTGAAGACGACAGAGAGTCACGTCTTTGTTTATGGAAGTCTTGGATTGTTTATTTATCATAGACTTTATTGCCCCGTGCATCGACACTGTTGATTTTCATCGCGGACACATTTGTCCCGTATTTTCCTCCACAACTTTGTTCCCCTCTCGACCGGCAAACCGACGTTGGCAGTGATCTCCCTCCATGAATCAGACGCCATCTGTGCGTCTTTGTAGTCCGCCAATGACGGCTTGTAGAAGTGGTCATATTTACGAATTTCTTCCGCCAAAAACTCGTTAATCTGATCCGTTCTCTCTCGTAAACATTCTTCCTTTTAATAATGGTATTGTGCTATGAAAACGAAAATGTGAGACTCCGTAAATGGATGTAGTTAGCGGACCAATCACAGCCTTGTGCGCTGCGGGAGGCTTGCGTCGCTTTTGAAGCAAGTCTAGAAAAATGGGTCGACGTACGCAAGGAGGTGTGAAAAGACGCAAGGGGGTCTTGCGTCTGCGTGTCCTTTCGTCTCTCTGAAAGTATAAACTAGGCTTAACTCCTTTTTTTTGATATTATATTGGATAATTTCACCACTTTGGTCCTTTAAACAGTTCTGATCAAAATCATGAGGTTTGTCTGAGATGTTTCGAAATAAAAGTACCTCAAAATTTTACAATTCTACTAATTATATTTAATTCTCCGAACAACTGACCAAATACTTTGTAATATTTTGTAATAAAACACAAAAGAATAAGAAAATCCCCCCCCAGGATTTACTTGTGTCTACATTTTGAATCCAAATGACGTCATTATGTTTTATGGCAGCCAAGCAAAAAGTTCAAACCCGCTGTTTTAAAGAGTTCCGCACGCCGCTGATCTGTCTTCCTTAAGACGTGTGTCAAGGACACTCACACCTGCTCTGTGCAGCAGTGAGCCATTAGCTAGCGGAGCTGCGCGCAGTAACACACTGCGGAGCTGCGACAAACTCCTCCTGCAATCTGTCCTGTCAGTGGGAAAGTTCCGTGGTGTCAAATCAAAGACGTTGATTAAAACATTTGCAGCCGTTCTCGAGTTGGTAGCAGAGCGTCTGGTGCCGTAAGCCCATCAGACATGTTGAGATGTACATTATTCTTTGTGATGATCTTCATTCACGCCACAGAGTCCTCCAGTCCACCAGATGCTCTCGCCGAGGATTCCTCAGAAAGACAAACGCTATGATTGAACATTTCAGTGAATTATGTGAGCCGGCAGCTCTATTTAAACACAGCATTTGTTGAAGGCCTCCGTTGTCATACATTTAGAACAGTATGCCGCATGAGTCATCAGTCTGTGTCACCGCAGTCTTCGCCTGGGCTCACAGAGATCATGAGTGCGGGGACTTTGGGGCTCTGTCTGCGTGAGGGGCCGGTGGCGGCTCAGTTCTTGCTTTTACAGCACTTTAGCGCCATCCAGTGGAAACCTATTCGTGTTATTGTTGGAATGCTGCTGCTCGGCAGAGACTCCAACAATAACCTTTCTAGCATTTTACATTCAACATTCCTTTGTATAATAGTCCCGCTTGCTTCACTAGCCAAACAAAATGAAAGCGTTCTCCATCGGCTCTCAGCTCACAGACAGTCAGGTCAGGGTCAACGCAGAATGCAGGGGAACTATACTGGACACAAATAGCAGACGTCACTAAGACATTACGCATCAGAAGGACATCAGTGTGAGATTGTGATATTGTTTGTGCGTCAACGGACTAAAATTAATCTGTAAATATCCCATTTTAGTAAAAGAACAGAAATCAAACAAAGTGTGACATTTAGGGAACTATTGTTAACTTTATTTTTTCTTCGTGTTTATAGTCAAAAAATGCAGTCATTTTAATTTTCTTCTTCACATAACAATACAATAAAATTGTTACACATTATATGATTACATATGGTCCCAAAAATGAACATCAATGCTCCAGAAGTGGGTCATTTCTGAGAAAACAACATGGTTTGCAAAACTTCAAGGCTGTTAAGATAGCCACAGCTAGCCTTAGGAAAAGCTAAATTAACTCATTCATATCATTGTATAAATTATCTCATTATTTTTTAGATGAAGTTTATCCTGCCATATACATGTGAAAGAAGCTAAATCCAACCATTACAAAGAAGGAAAGTAACGGCAGCGGAACATCGGCTGCTACAACATCATTAGCTTAGCTTAGCGGGGTAGCTGTAAATTACTCCCTATAGGTTTATATTTCTGCAACCATGAACCTTAATATTCCACTTTGTTCACCAGCTAGTCGCTAACTGTGTTTGATTATGAGCTGAGAGTATTGTGTACAGTGGATTTCTAAAATATATTGGCTAAATACAGCTGAATGCTTCAGCATTAAAGACATGAAATGTTTATCTTCAATTTCTTACACTCTTTTGCTACCAGACTAAAAACTTGAAAATTCTCAGCTTCATCTTTTGTATTAACTTTTTGTCTGTTTATGTAAGGCAATCATTAAACTTTGCTGGAATTAGATTCAATTGGTTGTAGTTACAGCTCCATTTCCATGGAGTTCAGCAGTCACATGACGTTGCCATCACTCTCGAGTGTGAAGCCAGATGCCGGGAGGGAAAGGCTGCCCTCCATCGGGCTGGTTAGGTAGGACCAGAGGGCTCTACATCCGCCAGGTCTTTCAGGTCACCAAGTTTTCGAGAGAAGGAGCTCAGCCTAGTGCTAAAAGAGCCCCTGTTGTGACTGTGATCTTCCCCCTGGGCCTTCAGGCAAGCCCAAAGGCCCTTGCAGAGGCCCCCCAAACGACCCCGAAAGTGGTTCCCGATGAAGCAGTAGAGCACCGGGTTGATGGCAGAGTTGGAGAATCCTAAGCAGAGGGTCAGCGGTGTGAGATTGTGGACGGTCCAGTTTACCCAGCAGCTGTCCACCCAGCCATCGTTCTTCAGCACGTCCAAGAAGGTTACGCAGTGGAAAGGGAACCAGCAGATGAAGAAGGCCAGGACCACAGAAGCTACAGTCCACAACACCCGCTCAAGCCCCCTGCCCTCCAGGGGCCTGCCCTTTCTGGAGCCGGGAGCTGCACATGGGGGCGGAGGTCTCTCTGGTCTACTGCAGCTCTCCTTGGACTCGAGGGATTTAAAAGAGGGCATGCTAGGGCGCTGCAAAGGAGTCTCCATTCTTCCCAGCCCTGTATCAGCCACCAAATGTCGACCAATAGCAGAGTAACAACAGGAGATGACAAACAGTGGCAGCAGGAAGGCCAAAACAATTTTCATCCAGGCCAGGGTCAGGTACCAGGTATGATCAGGGTAGCCAATCCCACAGGCCTTCACGCCAAGCGCCTCCACAAAGTAAGTGTCCCTCAGATACAAGTTAGGGGCCGAGCAAGCACATGCTAGCAGCCACACCAGGATGCAGGTGAGCCTGGCGCGTTTGGGGTATCGCGCGCTCTGGGAGCGGAGCGGACGCACGATGGCCAGGTAGCGGTCCATGCTCATGCACGTGATGAAGAAGATGGACGCGTAGAGGTTGAGGTGGAGGAGAGCTCCGCAGACCTTGCAGGCAACCTGGCCGAAGGGCCAGCTGTAGCCCCGGGAGTAGTAGACGGCCCACAGCGGGAGGGACAGCAGGAACAGCAGGTCGGACACGCACAGGTTCAGCATGAAAGTGTTCGCTACGGTTCTCCTGGAAGCTCTGGCATTGGCCAACACCCACACCGCCAGGGCGTTGGCCACGATGCCCAGCGCGCAGATAGCGCTGTAGACGGCGGGGATGACCGTGGTTATGGGCACAGGAGGCCAGTCCGAGCAGACGGGAGCAGAGGGCGCTACAGAGGCATTCGAATAGATCTCTGTCATTGAATAGTGGGGGGAGGTGGAGTTGAATAGGGAGAGGTCATTTGGGATGGCCATTTGGGGATTTTATGTACTCTTTGCGTCACACAATTTCACTTCCCCCCCCTTTCAGTTTTTCAAGGTCTGCTGGGAATAAAACAAAACAGAGGACATTCAAAATTCAACAGCCTTTTATGGACACAGAAAAACACAGTATTCTTTAGTTGGCTGAAGTGTTTGTTAGCTGTCCTACTTGATTGAATCACAGAAAAAATCATCAAAAAATTTCTATACACAAAAATACTTTACACACATGATTCTGTATTAATGACTTATATACGTTTTGGTACATTAATGAAATTATTATTATTTATTTGGGATTTTATAGATTTAAAGAAAACTTAAATCACCGAAACTGATTATGTTATGGTCTGGTGCATCAGCGGAATGGCATATTAATAATAAAAAAAACTGCAAACTTGATTCAGGAAATCAGTTAGATAAGTGAAATTACATCTTAAATGGATTTTGCAGTTAAAAATGACTGGAAATTACATAAAGACAAATCTATCTTTCATCAAATCAAAACACACTCATTTTTAAGAATGAATCTTACCTGTGAGGGTTTGAGCCTCTTGTCCAAGCAGTGAAGCATTCAATAGTTATTTTGACTAAAGTCCATGTCTTGACAACTGCTCCTCGACCCTTCAAGAGAAATCTGCACAACCGAGTACCCCGGACCACATCATGCCTCTGTGTTTGTGTGGGTCTGTGTGTGTGTGTGTTAGTGTGGAGTAAACTGACTGAAGGCTCTGAGAAACCAGATGAGGTTCAGGAGGTCTTATAGCCCCCAGGAGCCTCGTGAAGATTGCACAACAGGGAAGTTGCTTCCACGTCCCATCTTCATCGTAGCCGACAGACCGTGCTGTACCTGGACACAGGCCAGCCTGCAGAGACAGAGAGAATAAGAGAAACATGCTCTCTCTCTTTCTCTGTCTTTGTCTCTCTCTCTGTCTCTCCCTCTTTAATTTGATCCCTCCTCTATCCCTCCCTCCCTGAGCCCCGGCCAGAAAACTAAGAAAATCCTGTCAAGATGTGTGTTTGAGGAAATATCTTTGTCTCCATCGCTGACACAAACCAGGATTCATACTTAACCATAACTATGACACCAGTGTGTGTTTGAGGTGTCAAACTTAAAGCCGTAGTTTTCCCCCCCGGGACCTTTGACCCGAAGAACGGAGGCTGTGTGTTAATTAGCAGACCGTCGCACTTTGTGTCATATTCGTCCTGTCAGATAAGCCATGGGAAATATTTACTCAGCGGAAGTCAAGCCAACCACTGGGGCAGAGGGAGAGAGGGGAGGCACAGTGTGGAAGATGAATGAGGAGGAGGACGAGTAGGGAGTGAACAAGGAGATGAGAAGGGAAGAGGGGGAGGAAGTGGAGGGAAAGTATAGGAGCGAAAACGGAGATTCCCTCCAGTGGTTTTTCATTAGAGCCTCTGGTAAAAGTTAATGAGGGATGCTCGCAAAGCTCTGAGACTGATTACATCACAGCTCCTTTGATCAACGGTGTGAGCGTGCATCTCAGCGTGTTGTGTGCATGTGCACTGACACGCGTACGCTGGCACTTTTGCTTCAGTAAGTGATCCACTGAATGTCATTAATCTCAGCCTGGCATGCACACTACAACACAGTGTGCTGGCCTCTGTTTACATGCATGTTGAGATGTTTGTGTGTGTGTGGGTGTGAGGGTGTGTGTCTGTGTGTGTGTGTGCTCGCACACTCTACTCCATTCAGTATCTTTTAGGATCTGACATGTTCTAATAGCCGTGGGAAAACTGACTGTGAGGATGACAGATGGAGGCGAGACAGAAAGCAGCGGATTTCGAAGGCCCCATATGAAGACCTTCTGGCAGGATATGAGGCGTTTTGAATTCGCTGCATTAAACAAATTGTTTGAAAGTGATTAGGTCGTCCAAAACGGGAAGTTCATAATGCGCTGTGTTTCCACTATCATGCTGGGTAAGCACAGCTGTTCTTCTCACACAAATAGACAGAAAAGCCAACATCTAAAACCTGAAATTGACGTCATGCATGTCATTGAGTCGTGCTTGACATACTTCTGTTTCTGTCATCCTAAGAGACTCTACAGAATTCAAAGAACGTAATTTTTTTTCAATTTTCGTAGATTTTTTTATCATTAAACTCAATTTCTATGAGCTAGCAAGAAATCAACAATGTAGACTTTAAACATTAGTCTTTTATTAATGAAATGCAAAGGTCAATAGCTAATCAGGATGGACCATGAGTCTGACTATGATCCCTGCATTTGAAGGCAGAGGTCAGATCCCGTTGTCACGGAATAAGTCAACCGTAACAAACTTAATTGTTGGAATGCTGCCTCAGTATTGTTCTTCGAATCTTCATGTCAACATCTTCTTCTTCTGCTTCTTCTTCTTCCTCTATTTGTTCGAATGCTGCCTCAGCAAGTATTATTCTTCGAATCTTTATTTCAACATCTTATATGTTTTCCTTTCAACTCCTTCCCACTTAAAACTGTTCAAATATTAAAATGTTCAGCTCCTTTCTGGCTTTCCAGCTATGACAGCTTTCTAGCTCTTATAATTAAATTGATATAAATCAAATTCATGAACATTTTTTTAACATGGTTCATTTTCAACTCCTCTTAAACTTTATCAACTTTCACATTTTTCTGCTTGGCCAATCTTTCAGCGACAAACACCATTTGAACTTTAAAGTCCAAACTATAAAATAAACAGCTTGTTGATATCTATTCTATAATCACTGATTATTTTATTCCTTTTTTGTCTCTCTGCCCTCTGAGCAGCTTGTTAATGATTGCAGGTGTGCTGTTACCGTGGTAACTCAGACACACGCTCTCTCGCTCGCTCTCTCTGCCTGTGCCACACAGCTGTTCTGTATTAGCTGATTACTGCAGTCTGCCAGGACCTGAGCTTACAGAAGACATTTTGGAATGTACTAGGGGCGACCGTGGCGGAGTAGAGCTTCTTCTAACAGGATTTTAACACTAAGTATCCAAAATGTAGCTAAAATGTAAAAACCACGGGTTAAAAATGTCACATTGGATAAACGTGTCAGCTAAATGAAATGCAATGTATTTACACTGAGCGGATTTATTTTTGACACTTATTCCGAGTTAACTTGTCAACACTTGGTTGAGTGTTGATTTAACACTGACAAGATTGGGACAATATAAACACCAGCTTAGAGTTAAAATTGAATCTTAGAGAGTCAATTTAGCTCTCTGAAATTTGCTGTGTACCACAAATTGTACTACACATACTACCATGACTAATAGTATCATGGCGTTCATTTTCAGCATTTTTTTTTAATTCATTTCAGCACGAATTTTATGCAGGAAATGCATTTTCTAAAGTACAAATTCATTGTCATTTAAATGCCATTAGAACAATACATGTTACATTACATTTTCAAAATCTGTGATTGGAGTTTTCTCAACATACTGCACTACAATTTCTTTCAATGCTATGCCTTTTTAAGAAAAAACAGTATAAACCTGTACTTTTAATTGGAAAAAAAGAAAAACTTTCTATGACCAGTCTGCCTTTTTATGACCAATTATACTATACTCTAAATTCAGTATCCTGTATTTGTCTTTTATCTCGTCTTGGATGCGGCTGAGCTGCTTGGAATGACACTCATGTTGATCCTCTTGTGCTTCCTGGAGGAGCGAGATGCAAAAAAAACATGAGTCACTCATTTGTAATATAAAATTGACATTGTTCACATCAGTTTAAGAGGCAAAACATGTTTTTTAAAGATCCATTCAGGCTGAAAAAAATATACAATATTTAGGATTTTAAAGAAGGAGTTGGGCCTGCTTTAGTGCAGTTGTTTTCCAGCTCAGATACAAACACTGGAAAGCTCTTCGCGGTTGGGAAATCACTGGTCGATTCAAAGAAACACAAAATAAATCCAGTGATCATAAAATACTTTCATAAAACTTTTGTTTCATAGAAGTCGGTTGCTAACGGGCGACATGCAACTTTTTCAGCCTTGTCAAGGGATTGTTTGTCTTCGGCCTAAAGTCAGCTTTTGTCTTGTGTCTTTTTTCTTCATGCTTCAAAAATGATGAGGATTAACTTGCTGAACAAAGAGTGGAAGTATCAACAATTTGTGATTTGCATGGAGTTTCCTTAAACCACACAACAGAGAGCTGTGACAGTATGGTCAGTACAAGACCACCAGCACGGTCCATTGAAGAAGATATAAAAATACAAACTAAACTCCTGTCGAATCATTTTACAGAGGTAATGAAGCAAGTGGGAATGAGGGTAATTTTCTCAAAGACAATGAGACTTCTATTTGCAAACCTGAGGACTCGGCACCAAACTGACAAAAGATTACATTGCTCGTTAGCTACTGTACTCAATCAGCTTGTTAGCATTGTCACTGTGAGCGTGTTAGCACAGTGGTTACATGTGTGTTGTCATAGTTACCTATTTACTAATGTTCCTTACGTGAAGTGCTTGACAAACGTTTCTTCTTGCACCACTGCTACGACAGGCACGAAGCTGCCGGTTACAGTGAAAACATGAAACATTCAACTGATGCTTTTCATATCAGAGCGGCTCCCGTTTAACACTCTGACCTTTGTCGACAATTGGAGGGGCAATCTCTCCTTTCCTTAGACAATCAATTCAGTTGGCGTGTAGATTTCTCTTTTATTAGGATTCCAAACCATGTTTGGTAATTCTGTCGCCTATTTCAAAATGTCCTCTCTCCTTTGGTTGATGGATGCACAAGCGAGGGCTGAGTGATAAATAGTTTGAGCGTGTGTGGGAGTACGAGTCTGTGGGTGTTTGATGATCCAAAAGCCAGTGTCCGTGCAGGCGGCCGATAAGGAGAGCCTCAGAACTGAACTTACACCACAACCCGTCCTTCCATCTACCAATTATTTTTTCAGTTTCCTTTTTTTTCATTTTTGATGTGGACATTCATTTTCCAACAATTTTTTTTTCCATCTGTTCCAATTAAAAAGATATATAATTATTTCACATCTGAATAACTTTTGCTGCCACAAAAAGTTATTCATCTCATTGTCTGCAAAAACAACAATGGAATAGTTCATTGGTACGATTGCCTTATGTGCACATACTGTTTCTGCTGAACGGAATGAGCGGCCAACATCAAACCTTATCAGTTTGCAGAAGACCATTCGCACATACTGTGTAAACACACTGACCCATACCAATACAGGAGAGGACGACATGTACAAGTAAACATATACAGTACTAACAAACACCCTTAAATTGCTTACATAATTGTGAAGTTTATGTTCTTTGCAGATAAATGCGCTGTTTATTTGACGGTGGTGGTGTCCCTCACGAGCTGGATCCTGGGAAGAGAAGCCACCACAGGCCATAAAAGTCACAAAGTCCTCTGTGGAAAATACGGCCTAAGGGGTTGGAGGTAAAAGATCAGGGTTGTGAGCCCTGCTTCCTCTCTGCTGGTTGAAGAAAAACAGAAAGGGCTCCGGACATCCTGACAAGAGTTCAGTCTAATATTTGTTTTCAGAACATAATCATAGCTGCTTTTTGTGTGGGATGCCGTAAGGGAGGGGGCCCCCATATGTGTAGGGGACCCTTGAGAGAGGGGAGATGAGGCTATACTTAGATATTCTTCTTGCCTCCAACACAGTCCCCTGCGCTCATAGCAACAACACATCCATGGGAGTAGAAGATGGTTACACAGATCCTCAGCTTTCCCACTTGTTTTGCTCTGTTCTATTCTGATCTGAGACAATGTGTTGCATGTGGTTATGTTCATTGTATTAGTGGATGATGAATCCTTGGCTCAAGTTTCTGCTTCTCTTCTCAGAACATTTGGAGAAAAAAAGCACGGTCACACTAGCCTGCAGGTCTCACAACCTCTTGACTCAGAGCAGAGCCACAGGACGCCTGGTTACCATGTGTTTTTCTCCCATGTATAACAGGGAATGAGGATGAGAAACCATTGGCTTTTTTCTGGATCATCCCTTTGTTTTGCTCAACCCTACGGATTCCTTAGGGTTTCCTCTACCCATTCCTTTTTACTGTCTGTGTGTTGTTTGTCATTGTACCTTTAATGTCAATCTGTGTTTGTTTCACCAAGCAATGACTGGATCTCTTGGGGCCAGATTTACTTGCAGCTCCACAATTTGTTCTTCACTGAGCAAGGATGCTGTTCTTCTGTAAACGAGTCACTTTATGCCTTGGTACAACTGACTCATAACATTTAACAGCCCGAAGGGGCAATGCATGCATGAGCTTAAATAACGTAAGTCAACAGGCTGTTTTTTGGCAGGTGGGGAGAGGGGTGTGTGTGCAGTGTTGGCATGCTGATATACATCTATAGTATATAGTATTTAATACATACATGTATATATATATATATATATATATATATATATACATGTATATAATTTATATATATACACGTATACTATATACATATTACCGTATATACATATTATATATATACACATCACATTTATGTCAACTCAAAATTAATCACAATTAACCACAAATTTGTATCTATTCTAAATGTCCCTTAATTTATTTGTTTCCCATACATTTTTTAATGCTCTTATCAACATGGAAAAATGGATTGGCTTGCTTTACGCAAATGTTTTATTTTATTGAAAAACAACATTGCCAAACAAGGCGGTACAAAATAAAATGATAAAGTGCACATTTCAGATAAAGGGTTATGCTTTTGTATGTACTTGGAAGTGATTTGCTTGAAAAAAAACTTCACATCACGCCTCTCATCTGTCTACTAACAGAGCGAGTGACCGAGTACCGGGAAGAACCTTTGGTTGTTTTTAGACCCCAGCCCCCTTTTCCCCACGTTTAACTATTGAAGGATCATTTTGTGTTAATTGATTAATGTCTCGGTCTACCTGACACTATTCTGAAATCTTGCCTCAACGTTCGCACAACACACATTATACATTTTGAAATACATTACAGATTTTATTTGTAGCGGAATTTAAATCAAATCTCTGCACCCCATTAGCTAGAGACAAATTAATGCTTTCCTGAATACAAAGCGCTTTCTTTGTTATTCAGGTGTGATTGAAGATTACCTCAATCTCCTGTTAAGCAGCAAATTGTGTGATGAATTTAGAACTATAAACACTAATGTCCTTCATTTCTAATGATATCTTTGGATTGATTGGTTAAACATAAAAATAATGTGGGTATCAGGAAGGCTTTTTTTCCTTTCCTGATATTCCTTGCAGAGCTTTGGAGACTTTGTTTTTGTGATACGTTAAATTAAAAGTCTGTGTGCGCTACGTACCTACTGTTCAATACAATAAACAAAACAACTAACCTAATGTCATACGGACAATTAAAGTACTTAAGCACAACACAAAATCATGAAAAATATAGATTTATTTTTGGTTTTAAACAACTGGACAATTTTCGATGTTATTCAATGGAACAGCACGGTACATCTTGTAATCATTAACAGCGCATGTGCAGTAATCTCAGCACACCTACGCAGTGGGATAAATCATGGAAAATAAAAGCTCCATGCACCAAAAGTTGTTGCAAAAAGGCCCAAAGTTATCCAATGACGCATTCCGAGAGAACAATTCACAATCTGGATGAAAAGACTTGTAAACGGTTGTTGGTGAGATTCTTTCCATGTAGCTTTCCTTCTTCATTGGACTCGGAGTTGTTAGTAGGTGAATTGCTGCTTTTTGTTCTAAAAAGCAGACATACCTGGACCGTAAGAGTGTAAATATAAATGATGGGGGCCGAAGAAAAGAGAATGGAAACGTGATAAAAAACTTCCCAACTCTTGCACAATGACCCATTTACACGGCATGACAGTACTGAGGGTCTGCTGACCGGGAGGAGATGTGAGACGGCAGCGTGGGAACGAGCCTTCTCCTGTGGCCGCTCAGCTGCGTGTGCTGTACAGGTCTTCATCCTCGGGGGTAGATTGGCCAAAATCCATCAGAGCGGGGTCCGCTGTGAAACCGGCGCCCCCTGGAGGGCAGCAAAGGACACGCAAAACCAATCGGTCACAAGCACAGTAATAGCACAACCTTAAGGGATTACACTGGTCCAGACTGACAATACATAACAATCCACTAAAATAACTACAAAACCCAGCCAGTGTCCTGTTAGTGCTCTGTGATACTAAACCAGTGAGCTAGGCTTCACTAGAATGGACATTCTCACGTGCACAAAGACACATGGCACCAGAATGCCTGAGTGCTGCCTACAGGGAAGTGAGGTCTGCCCGCTAGCAGTAGACTCCAACAGGTTACGGCTCAGTTAATAGCACACAGAAATCCCTCTGTCCTTAATCTTTCAAACTGGAATGTTTTTCCACCGACTTCAGAGCTGGCTTGTGACGCAAGACAAATATCGCGGTGGGAGCTGGAGTCTAGAGGCCCGTCTCTGGGGGGGGTGTCAGTGTTCACAGTACCTTTGGCGTTTTCTGGTGCTGGCTGTTGAGGTGGCGGGAGTGTCTCCTCCACAGCAGCAACTTGTTGTGGGTCAGTAAAGTCAGGTTTAACAGAAGGTTCAGATTCCGCCAATTCAAGCATTGCCACTGCCGAGTCGTATGAAAATACAACACGGGATCAGCACCAGAGACATGAACTGATGAGTTCCCTCCATCTTAACTTCATTATATTTTTAACTGCAATAAAAGTCATTTGGAAGTTTTTACACAATTAGCTACATTAAATCCCCTTCTGTTCCAATAGTGGATTTCCAAGAACACTCCTTTGACACGAAGGTTAAAAAAATGATCGTACCTGGTGGCTCATTTAAGGCCTTTGGAGCTGGCAGTTCCTCAGTAGATGGACTGGAACCAACTTCTGGAGCCTCCTCCACTAGGGCGGCCTCTACTGGGACAAAATCCACTTGGATAGGGTCCACTGCTGGGGCGGCCTCCACTGGAGAAGCCTTTAACGTCTCTGGTTCGAAGCTTGCTGTGGGCCTCGCTGGGCTGGTGTCCATGGAGTCCTGTGCTGCTTGTTGCATGTCTGAGGGCTCCTGGCTTTTGACAGATGCACATATTTCTTCAGAGGTTGTCTCTGCTGGCACTGGATCTGGACGGAGAGGAAATATAGAAGACCACCAGTAGCAGCGTCCATGTTCAAACAAACGATGTAGACAGAGAAACAAGCAGACAGATCGATATCTAACATACCTGTGTTGGTCTCTGCTGGGGTCAGGTCGGGGTCGCTCACTAGCAGTTGTACCGACTCCTCTGTTGTCACAGCGACAGCCGACTCCACAGACACGGGAACAGAGGCAGCTGATTCGCCCTCCGTCTCCGGGTCTGCAGCGCTCGGGGCCGAGCTGCCCGAGGCAGCGCTGGGCTCCGAGGCCTCGTCAAACACTGCAGCCATCTAACGTGGAAGAAGAATGAAATGGTTACATTTCTTTGATGGAGACTTGAGATAAAAATTAATTTAAAACTTTAATTAAAAATATAAGATATGAATTAAAAATCAACCATCCATTACAATGAATACACATACGCCTGTAAAAATATAAACAAAATAGACATAAAAATAAATAAATAAAAATAATATATACTTAAATAGTAAATTTCAATAGTAGCAGTCTGCCAGTCCGTTCAGCTAAGTACCAGACAGCTAAGTACCAGAAACAAAATACACCAAAACTCCCCACTAACATGGCAAACTACCAGGAAACGAAATTAGGGATTAAAAGATGTGTCATGGAAATCCTTCAGTGGAGAGGGAGATGACATAATCTGGGGTTAACCACCGTTTTCCACCTTCCACTTAACATTCCTGTTTACACCTATATACGAATATACAAGAAGCATCTTTGCAGACGCTCGGCGGGCTCGTTAACCTGTGGTTGTGAAGCAGCCGTCCCGCTGATGTCGGGCTCCTGGGACTTGGAGGTGAGCAGTGAAGACACTGCAGCGCTGCTCCACTGCCCGGCAGCGTACACCTGCTTACCAGTCACCTTGGCACCACAAAAGACAGTGATGGTGAGAAATATCAAAATGAATCACGTTGGTTACTGCCATTAATACGTCTGCATTAAAAGATATTCATAAAAGTAAGTTACCTTCAGCACAGCCACCGTTGTAGACGGGAAGCACACTGAAGCTCCTGCGCTCATCAGGCCCAGTGGAACGGCCAACCTCTTGAAATGAGAGCCTGAAATAAAAAGGTTTACAGCGAACAACGGCAATCCGTCAAAGTCGGCACAGATTAACACCTGGAGCCAAATTTAGTCATTGCCGGTTATTGGGAACTTTCATTTAACCGACTCCCCACAGAGAGAATACGACTGCTGAGAACCTTAACTCCAAGGGTTCCTTATGCGTTCGGACTAAAGTGAGGAGCCATGCTTTGCCTGCTACTATGATAATGCAAAGGACTTATGGAAGACCCTGTTCTATTTCTGAAGTGTATTATGAAACACAAATTTTAAAATAATTTTTTTTAAATCGGCGGCGGATCAGATTACCTTTCCGTGTCAAGAACATGCCAAGCAGGCCGCTCATGGTGACCGTTCCAAATCTGGGTAAGAAACCCGGCGGAGGGTCTTTTAGGTAATAGTACACGTCTGGGAAACACAGGAAAACAGTAACATGATGATAAACCCTCCCTTCAACTTTTTCAATCCCTGAACTTGTCCGACCGGCTCAAATTGTACCGATACTGCTATTACTGCTTGTTGAGTGTGAGAGTAGGAACATGGACGGTAAAACAAATTATAATATTAACTGTAGTAATATGATGTGCAATAGTATCATTACTGGACAAAAAATACATGCACAGTGAACTGTGTGAGATAGTACCATGTGTGGGATAGTAATACTTGGATCCTGTAATATAAGGTGATAAATACACTATGTGAGAGATCTTTTGAGGGTGTCGGTACAAACATGCGAGTTAATGGGAACTAAGAATTCAGTTTTGAGTTTCAAGAAGTTGACTCACCTTCTCCTGCATAGTACATGTTAAGGCTTCTTGTTTTGACAGCGACACAAGCACCCTGCAGGGGGAAGAAAACTGACGTCAACCACTACAACAGGCCCTAGAGAACACATCTACATCTGAGTAAGTGTGAAGTCGTGTTCCTTCCCCATCTCACACAGTATCAAACTGCCAAATCTCCTCGCAGCAAACTTTGCAGCTGCTGAGTTAACTGCGTGAACACTATTTCCTGAGCTTTGCGGTTCGCAAAGTCGAGAGTGCGCGGAGCCGTCGCAGCACGTGGGATCGTGCTCTGCAACCACAAACTAAAGGAACAAAAATCAGTGTTGGAAAAGTAACACTGCAGTTTGCAAGACAAGCGTGTGTCCCATTTACATAACACGTAGTTGCACCAGTTTTTTTTTTCTTTTTGGGTTTGAATGTGAAAGTATTTTTGCTTCTGCGGCAAGTGGAGTCTGTGAAGTCAAAGGTTCTCTTGTTTACTGTCGCTGTGGAATACATCCGGCACAATCTAAATACCTTAACAGCCAGGACGAATGGTAGCAGGCGCTCTCTTGTCGTAGTTAACCCACGCTGAATGACCCCCGGCCTCTCTGGAACAAACCAGGCCGGGTCCGACTGCGGCAGCGGGCTGTAGATGTTCAGCTGGGGACGGAGGTCAGCACGTAATCACGACGTGCAACGACTCAAGTCTCGCCCGTCAGCCGCGTCGTCTTTAGGAACAAAAACATACCTTTTCTCGAGCGACCAGTCCGTTGCTGGTTACCTCGCGCACAGTATACACCCGGATGGAGGCTACGCCCATCACCGCCGGGACGGCCAGCATCACCACCTGGGACACAGGACACAAAAAGATGGGTCTACTCGCAGCAACAAAACACACATCAATGCTGGCTAGGTGACTCATTGCGAGGAGGGGCAGATAAGAGGAAGACTCTAAAAATGTCCATTTCATTCATTTTTTGGTCCATAAGTATGATAACAGCATATTATTAGAGCACCAATAGCCCCCCAGTTATTATGAGAGTGATGCTTTCTCAGCTCCTGTAGATTATATGTTTATGTAGGAATATTATTAGTATATAGCATAAGTATTCACACGTATGCTACAGTTCAGCCGGAGCGTATAGAGCTTTAAACCATAACATGCGTCATATTTACTCGACTTTAATACAGCGCTTGCATGTGTGTGTGTGTGTGTGTGTGTGTGTGTGTGTTTAAATAACTTCGTGGTCTGTTGTCAGCGTATCGAACAGCCACAACATGTGTAAGTTACATCAAAGTGTGATATGGCGTTAAGGGTCACGATAACACACATGGATAACACATATCGGGCTTCCTCCAAATGTGTTAAACGTCTTAACAACGGCGCAATGGCGCTCACACGCACACGCTAGAAGAACACTAGCGGTGTAAGCGGGTTTCTGTCAAAACGGCTGTCAGCTAACGCAGGGACCGTCCAGCTAGCATCGGCGAGGCTAACGCAGCTAGCACAGCCAGCGAAGCTAATTCAAAGGAGCGCAGCGTTCAGGTGCGTTAACGATGGTCCGAGGAGGCAGCGACGCCCCTTGGGGGGGCAGAACGCGTGGACTACGCAGCCGGCCATTCATTAATAAACACATACTTTGACGAAGAACAAATGTCATGCATTCACCTTGGCCGCCATGACAGCGCTCCTCCTCCGTTCCTCCTTCGGCTGCGAGGCGCAGCTCGCAGTAGAAGAAGCGGCGGTCCGCTGCCGCCACCTGGCGGCCTGCTGAGGCTGCTGCGGCGGCTCCGTGCTGCGGAGCGAACGTCAGGACGGTTGTGCAAGTTATTGTTTTATTAGGGGACAAGGCAGGCAAGCCCCCCAAGGGGCTCAGCAGCTGGCAATTCAATTATTTGCCGTGATTAAGTACCTTTACCGTATTTCCGATCGAGTCTCAAAATCAATTTTGAATGTTTTGAAGGTAGAATAGATACATTCAAATGACCACAAACTACCATATCAGCACAGTTGAGATCACTGGGAGTGATAGAAGGCCAGAGAGTCAAATCCCATTCGTCTCGTTCAGCCATTACAGGTTAATCTAGAATACAAAGGATTCCCTGTGTGGATGTATGCATAAAACAGTCAAACGGTCTAATTGTCTACAACTATTTCGGTGGATGCTTATGAGCAGTAAGCAGGTGAGTGTCCAGTTTATGCACTTTTAAACATCAGCTGCTAAGGGGGAAAGACCATATTTGTGCACCCCTTGTTTATGGCATGACCAAAAGTAAAGAACACGCTGTAATGCCTTTTTAATAAATCCAAGAAAGAGTAGACATTAACAGTTATACATAGCTCATAGTGCAGAGGATTCAGTTTATTGAAGTCAAAGTTTAACAACTTAAGTTTACAATCTGTATTTTCTGTAATATATATTCATATATATGAAACCAAAAAAGGCTACTTTAGGAAGAATAAATGTAATTTTCTTTCTTTTTTAATATCTTCTTTAGTCAGTTTAATGTACAGAATAACAGTAAGCTAATATTATCCTTGAAAAAGAGCAATATGTTCCTTTTTTAATGTCGCAGTGCAACTTACATCTTACACACCTGTGCAATGTACCATGAGGTGTACACCCCTGAAAGAACACACAGTGGATTCTCCCTTTTCGGCCTGTTTCTGCAGGTTTACACACACACACAGATCTGGGAGGAATAATACAGTCTGTGCCTACAAATCATAACCTGCCCTTCTTTGTCTACAGTATGTCGCCTGCTCAGTGGAGCGGCGGTTGGAAAGAGACGACTACTACAGATGAGAAACAGTGAGAGGCCTGCAGACTGAAACTGTATTGTAGCTCCTCTGCAGCTGTGCGTGCGTGTGTGTGTGTGTGTGTGTGTGTGTGTGTGTGTGTGTGTGTGTGTGTGTGTGTGTCGGATCGCCAGTATTGTTTGTCCATTGTTGCCAAAGAGAGGGTTGGGAGGCACAGGGAAAGTGCTTGCATCATTTAGTATCTTTGTGTTACTCTCAAATTACCCAAAAAACATGACCTACATCTCGTGGGGTGTGTTGGATATTTCACGACGGTGTGACATGATGAAAAAAGTTGAACCTACACTCAAAGAACTACAGTAAAATATGAAAAATAAGTACAGATAGCGCTGGATGCAGCAGGTGCAACGCATGTCTCTAAGAGTCTTTGATACTGGGGGGCACCGCTGGGTGCTCGACCGGGTAGATGCAGATGAAACGATTCGTCCAACCGTCCCAGACACATTACAGACCATTTAATGTTAACTTCCCGGTGTCGACCGTCTGCTTATGGGGAATGTCAAAATAGCTTTCCTTTTGGAATGAGCTGTACTGTCGTCTCTCAGGTAAGATTCCTGAAGCCTTCGGGCACGTGTCGGTCTTTCTTTGTAAAACCAAAACATCCAATTGAAACATCCTGGTAAGATGCTAAAGAAGGATCTGCGTCAGATTAAGTAACCGCGCCGACAAAGATGCCTGCCGCAGTTCTAATACAGTGTGTGTCTGCAAACACGTTCTAATGAAACCCGAAGAACACTCTGAACATATGAATAAAACGTCATTCTTTAACAGTACTTTTGCATGTATCATGCGCTACAAGTCTAATTATGTTGCAATCATGAGCTGAGGATAAAAGGAGGAGGGAATGAAAGAACACAAATGATCCACAAAAATTTACCGTGTCCAATCAAATCAGTCTCAGGACTTTTCTCATGCAACACATCACCAGCAGAAGGGTCAGCCGGGGGTGTAAAACTTGGTCAATCAACTGTTAATTACGGTGGTGGTTGTTGTTGTTGTTGTTGTTGTTGTCTGCCTCCTAGATGTTCAACTGCTAAACACCCTGCATCTACAGCGTGAAGAGGGGGACACTGCAAAACCTTGGCATAGAATACATCATACTTTACATTATATCTATGACACAAAACGTAAATAGATTTATATATTCTTCTATGTTTAAATATATTTGACTGTACACAAATCTTTAGAAAATGAGACGGCAAATGCTTTTACCTGATATTTTGAACAGCAATGGTAAAGAGGCCGATGAGACATAGACCCTGTGATGCAGCCAAATGAGATATAGAGATATAGAAAGTGCATTATTTGTAGTGAGTGACTCATTGGAAAAGAACTCTATAGCTCTTGCATTCGCTGTTTAAGAATATAAAATAAAAATTAAAAAACTGAAAAAAATGTCTTGCATCCACGCAAATACATACGCTCTGTCTTCTCTCTGCTACCTCTAGAAACATATCACAGTGGTAGTGGAACGCAAACATTTACATCGGTATACACAGCAGTATACACATATACAAAAGTCTAGATGGACTAGACGAGAGAGCGAGAGAGGAACCAAAAGAAGGAAAAAATAAGAGAAGAGAAGGCGGAGATGGACAGGAACACAGAGAGGGAGAGAGATTACAAACTACCAGAGGAGCCTCCTTCTGCGGATACAATTGTGTGTGTTTGTGTGTGTGTTTGTTTTTTAACAGTTCACAGTTTGAATAAGTGCGCAACTAGCCGACACAACGGTTCCTCAATGGGTGTGACGCTCGCTTTCAGTGGCTCCCAGAGGGACCCAAATAAACAGACAAGGCAGCATTGATGGCTACCTTTCCCAGCCTTGTACTATAAATCGGCACTTTAGTTCCCCCACACTGTCCTGCCTGTATCATAACAAGTGAGGTCCCTGTAAAATCAGCGAAATATGCAGTGAGAGAAAACGGAGAGAACGGGGGGGAGAACTGGTGGCTCTGGGTGCAAAGTTCATCAGTACAAAAGTACAGTGCTGTGGTGAAAAGGATTCTCCTCTGTATTGCTGCTACATAGCTCCCCCTGCCCCACCCTAAAATGAACAGGAAAGAAAATAGCAGACCGAGTGAATAGAAAGGAACGAACGTGTTAAAAAGTCTCCTTTTTTTTCCATCTTTGCTCGACAAGCGTGTGGCGTTTATGCTGAGTTCCGTAGACAAAGGAAGATTAATGCTTTCTGTTCAGGCATGCAATAGGCACCCTGTGGGGCCCTCGGGATTATCAAAAGTTCATACACGCAGGTCTCAGACTGTTCCCTCTATGATATTTACACATCTTACAATACGTGTGTGTGTGTGTGTGTGTGTGCGTGTGCGTGTGAGAGAGAGAATGCGTGCTCAGAGTCGCGATGACTCAGCCAATGTAAAGTTCTCCGCGTTGGTGCGATTGAGCGTGTGCGTCAGTTCAGTCTTGGCCGCCGCTGTCTTCATCACACGTGCGTCTCAATGAAGGAGTGTGTGTGGGTCATGAGCGGCGCGGCCAGCGGGGAGAGGTCGTCCTGGCCGTTGGTGCCGCTATTTAGCTGGCAGATGTCCGAGTAGATCTCGCCGTGCCACTGCTTCCACTCCCTGAAGGTGTCAGAGCAGAGGCCGGGATCCTCCAGGAGGGCACAGATCACTGCCAGCTCGGACTCTTTGGCCTGGGGGGGGGGCAAAGAGACGCCGGGAAGTCACCAAATCGAAACGTAACACATCTAAATACCCAAATCTTTTTGTTGCGTTCGCGACAGAATCGGGCCGTTGGGGGCTACCTTCAGAGTGCTGCGCAGGGCCCGGACCCGGTGCAGCCTGTCGTTGAGCAGCGGGTCCCTGACTCTCTGAGTGAAACAACGTCGGAACTCCTGCCTGCTGCAGGGTTTGGGGTCCCCGAGGGCCGTCACGTTGGCTTGCTCCAGAGCTCGGTAGAGTTGCTCCAGCCCGTCCAGCGGCTCGGGCTCACGGGCCTCGGACACGCGCCGCTCCCTGCCCTCAGACACCCGCCGCTCTCTGCTCTCAACTCTCAACTCCCGCAGGTCCGAGACCCCCAGGAGAGGGCCGGCGAGGGTCAGGTTCACCGCTAGAACGACACAATGGGCTTCTATTGGATATAAGGTGTGTTACATGTGGACATGAAATGACTATTTTGGTATTTTGGACAGTTGGTAAAAAAACAAATAATACAACTAGCGTATTTTCTTACATTTCATGGATCCTTGAGGCCCAATGGTCTGCAAACCTTTCTGTTTGTTCGGCTGTATAGCAAATCTTGTTGTAACGTGTGCTACCACAGGTTGTTTTTTTACCTTGAAAAGGTAACGCTACAGTTTCCCGCTAGCAAACACAAGGGAGGAGTAAAATCTGTAAAAGTAATTTAATATTGTATAGAATGTGATCTTTTAATATGATCACACAGTGATCATCTTGTGTTTCGAAGATTTTGTGTCACAACTCCCAAAACTACGTATAATATACGATAATAATATATAATCATTTCTATTTTATGGCAATCAATTAAATGTACTTCCTACATAACTGAACTACCACAATTCAGAGATGAATATTCTGACAGCAGCGTGCTCCTCAAAAACATAATCAGCTCAAAATCATGCTTATAAGCAGTTCTCATTTAATTTATTGGTTGTTAAGTATCAAGCTGACAATGTTCAGCCCCAAGCTGATAAAATAATGTAATAATAGATATTAATTCATCAGTGGCAACAATCCAAGATTAAATTGGTTCCCACTCACAGGCATCATGAGGACTTTTGCGAATCATACTTTTAAATTTAGAAAAATTTTCAATGCAGCACTTTTACGTATGTAAAGTATTTTACTTCATGTGGTAATCTGACTTTTACTTGAGTAAAGGATCTGGAAACATCCTCCACCACTGTCTGAATGATACCATTTAACCGGCAATTCATCTTGTTTTGGCTGCCCTGGTCCAATACCCCCCCCCCTCCCTCCTACGCCGCCTCTCCCT